AATCACATGCCATTTATCACCCAATTAATGCCAATGTCAGGTTATCACAGATATTATGAAGTCATAATATTGACGTTAGAAACCTTTTCTGAAGAAAGGTTGATCATGCTATTTAACAAACAGATATGTGTACTTGACGTACCTCTTGCAATGTAGTAATACATTTTACTACTGATATTTATAAGTGCAAAGAGTTCAATGCTTAACTGTAATACACCTTGCGTGAGGGTCATTTGGGATGTATACATATGTAAGGTATACTTCTAATTTAAATACAGATCTGGAATTTCAAAACGGAACGTTGATTGGCACAGTACAAGACACCAGAGTTGTGAAGACGTCTGGATGTGCAGCCAGTCGTAAACATCCGGGTATTCTGTATATCCATAACGATCACCATCACGCTGGTGCTACCATATTTGCGATAGACGCTGCTACAGCTAAAGTGGTTGGAAGTATTACACTGACTAATGCCGTGAACGCGGACTGGGAAGACATTGCTGTCGGCCCATGTCCATTCCGAGCTGGACAAACCTGCATATATATAGGTGATATTGGCACGGACAAAGGACACCCAGCAGCGGATAATATTTATCTAATAGCGGAGCCGGATTCGATTACCGGAAATCATAACATGACATACGAGAAAATCCTTCAGTACAGGTATTTATGTAATGACATAGTGTGTTGAAATGTATGGCAGTGTAATTCGGCCACGTTAGGTTCTTGAATTCTTGAACTCGAATGTTCGAAATAATTACTCAATATTTTGAGATAACTCGAAATATCGAGATAGTAAGTAAGAATTTCGATATAATAACGCGTAATTCTGAGTAACTGTCTGAAAGTTTCGAATTGCTTTCTGAAAATTCGAATTACATCCCAAAGCCTTGAGTTACTATCTTTAAAAAATATATCGGTACGATCTCGAAATTTCACGTAACGATGTCGAAATTTCGAGTTACTATCTCAAAATATCGAATTTCTTTCCCAAAATTTGAACTCACAATTACAAAATTTCAACTTTCATCTTTTGTCTCAAAAAATTGATTTGCTATCTCGAAATTGTAGGTGAAAATTCGATTCTTTGTTTTGCTCTACTTTGTCTTATCGAGGTTTGCAAAGCAATAAAATTACTTAGCGAGAAATGATTCTTAAGAATTCTTAATATTTTATTTTATTGTTAAGATCCTATCGAACAAGGGGATCGTTTTTTACCAGTTACAGTAACTATTGTAGTAATTATAATCCTGCACGTTATACAGTTTGCTGTTAGAAGAGATATAACTAGTAGTTGCAGTGTCATATAATTAGACACATTGTATTATCTGTCTTTCTCAGCATGCAGCCATATGTTTCTTTAGTTCCAGTGAGCTCGGCTCTGACACACTCATGGTCGACTCCCGAGGCGAGCTTTACATGATTGCAATACAAAGGGGAGGCAACGGTGGATACTACCATATTCCTAAAAGCGCTTGGAATTCAAACAGCAGAGTTCCTATCACAGCAAGCGGTAACATGGCCTTAAACACAAGTCACGAAAAGGATCCGGTCGCAGGCGACATTTCCCCAGATGGTACTGCCTTGCTTGTGAAAACACAACAGTATATGTTGTTATGGCGATTTGACGGCAACAGCTGGACAGATATATTCCAACGTCAATCTCGGAGGGTTCCATACATCTACGTATGGCAAGATGAAGCAGTGTGCTGGAATCATGATGGAACCGGTTACTACACTATACCAGAAGGAACTAACCCACCATTACATTTCTATTCGAGCGATGTTCCGAACTTCAGTTAAATGTAAAGCTAATTTTTATCTTCATTATCTTTCTATGCCATGTCAATGTTGTTATAGAGATTTGATGTCACATTGAATTCAGTAAAAGTACACCAACATACACATTTTATTATCTATTGTACGTCTACAAGCATATCATTTATACATGTGCATTTCATTTAATGACAAAATTCATCACGTGATTGCCTTGTTATGCAATGAATATGCTCGTGTTATATTTGTGCATATTGCATTAGTGCAGTGTGATATATAGTGACGTCAGGCGCTCTTACATTACGACGTCGCAAATGAAACATTGATATTGTGTAAAGCTGTCTCAACGAGTGACTTGGGAAACCATATTTTCTGTTTGCTGTGATGTTAGCAATATCAATGTACCACATGATAAAAGGACCTTTAACCCGTTATCTTTTCATATGCAATTTATTGAATTCATAACAAATGTTTTACTAAGCTCATCAGAATCTCGTTAAAATGAAAAAAAATCTGGAGTTTCGTTTCAAATGTGAAATGGAAACACCTTCCGTAAATGTCCTTTATTAATAAGAAATTATTTGTCCTATATTAATAAGAAATGATTTGTCCTATGTTAATAAGAAATGATTTGTCCTATATCTATAAGAAATGATTTGTCCTTTATTAATCAGAAATGATTTGTCCTATATTAATAAGAAATGATTTGTCCTATATTTATAAGAAATGATTTGTCCTTTATTAATAAGAAATGATTTGTCCTATATTTATAAGAAATGATTTGTCCTTTATTAATAAGAAATGATTTGTCCTATAATAATAAGAAATGATTTGTCCTATATTTATAAGAAATGATTTGTCCTATGTTAATAAGAAATTATTTGTCCTATATTTATAAGAAATGATTTGTCCTATGTTAATAAGAAATGATATGTAATATATTTATAAGAAATGATTTGTCCTATATTAATAAGAAATGATTTGTCCTATATTTATAAGAAATGATTTGTCCTATGTTAATAAGAAATTATTTGTCCTATATTTATAAGAAATGATTTGTCCTATGTTAATAAGAAATGATTTGTCCTATATTTATAAGAAATGATTTGTCCTATATTAATAAGAAATGATTTGTCCTATATTTATAAGAAATGATTTGTCCTATGTTAATAAGAAATTATTTGTCCTATATTTATAAGAAATGATTTGTCCTATGTTAATAAGAAATGATTTGTCCTATATTTATAAGAAATGATTTGTCCAATATTAATAAGAAATGATTTGTCCTATGTTTATAAGAAATGCTTTGCCCTATGTTTATAAGAAATGATATGTCCTATATTTATAAGAACTGATTTGTCCTATATTTATAAGAAATGTGGACTTACAGGAAATTTATGATCGATATTGTTCACTTACATGAAATAAATCTAAATATGTAAGCAGGTTCCAACAACAAAGGAATTTACACATCAATAAATCTAGGATGAGGGATAAATGTAAATCAACATCAAACAGACATATTGCCAGATGTTTCTTTGAAGATATAAATCCACGCGGCCTTACCGCAATTAACCAGCTTTTAGTTGTTGATGAATATTAATATTTTTATCATTCAAAACGGTTCCTCTATTCATATCTTTCTATATAACGACACACACGCTTTTATTGTTTAATATAGCAAATACAAGGAGTGAACGAGTCAGTGAACTGAGTGTATTGTAGATGTTAAACTGGAAGAAGGATGGAAAAGTGTAACGATTTCACAAACGTTTTGCAGAAGAGAGATATGATTTGAAACTTAATAAAAAGTAAGTTGATTCAACGGTTTTGTCCTATCACCATTGCCTAGATAATGTTTTTATATCAACGTGAGTAAGTATTAGATGTACACATTATCATTTCTATCAATGGCTACGGCTAAATGAGGTGTCACTGAGTTTTCAAAGGGTGTTACAATAAGAGAAAATATAAACATGTCAACTTTATCATGACGTAAACTTAAATGCAATAAAACTAGTGCAAAATATGAACAAAAGAATGCTTTACATGGCGACTACTGAAAAAGTACCAGGGGAATAAAACCAAGTGTTCCGGAACAGCAAGCATCTTTAGCTTCATCGACGACGGGTTAGTAATGTCACATTCTCAAAGAAGCACAAGGTACACTACAACGAAGCCAACGGGTAAATTATCGAGCATTAAACACATCTAATTTCATGTCGCACGAAGAAACAGAATGTCTCAATGATATCACTTCCACACAATTTTTATAGGTCTGCATCTCTTGAAATCCTGTACCACGTGTTTCTCGGTTACCTGACAGCTTCTTGCACAAAAATCTGACAATAGGATCAGACCCTTGAATATCAAATCAACTGCGATATGTAAACATGATAAGTTGGGGATGCAGCGATGTTGCAATCCAGAAATAAAAAGCACGAAACAAGTAGTGCTTACTGAAGTGACGATCAGCTACTCATTGTAACTCTCCACAAAAATTACCTCCCCGTGACATTAATTTAACCCTTCACTCTATTGTATCTAATTCTAAATTTGTACTGAACACTGCTATTATTATGTGTGACTTTTGTACAAACATGTAAGAAATGGATTGATGTATTTCCTTAATTTTAACCATTAACCCAAATGTTTTTAACATACTGAAAGGTGGTATACACAACACCATATGTGAATACATGTATAAAATTTGAGGAAATCTAGAATATATTGATCTGCATAAATCGATGAAAGAAATAAATATACAGACCCAAATCCACAGATATATACATGTAGATGACACATATAAGTACTCCGATACACAACCACACTAGTCATAGATAACAACGCCTCAGCTTAGTTATTCTATTTACATGAAATCCAACTATCTATTAATCAGTGACTTGACGGTCTAGAATTAGGACGTCGTTTAAAGGATTCGTATATATATTTGACAGATTCTTGTCGACAATCCCACTAGCGAGTATATATTTCCTTCTCTACCTGGTTGGAATGTTTCTGTTTAAATAGATTCCACACCGACGATGATATCAGCGATGAGGACATACTCATTATATTGATGTGCGTGTAGGTTCTTTGTCGAGTAGAATGTTTATGTTAAAGATTCCACAGCGATGATTCAACCAAGGACCACTGTTTATGTACCCTCTTAATTTGGACGTGCTACTCGGTCGACAGGGATGGCGGGAGTGGCGAGGACACTGAGAGATCTTTGGAAACTGCGGGCGATTTTTCTTGTTCTTGTTGCTTGCCTGGCACCTTTACCCTTTCTTATCAACGCATCATCGGTAAATTTCTTAAATAGGCCATTGTCAAGAAACGTTTCAATTCTGTTATATTAGTATTTAAGGTTTATCATCAGAAGTAATGTCGTTTTAGTGTTTAGAGTATACCTATTCCATGAACCACACATTTACATAATTAAACATTATGGTTATGGTTTGGATTTAAGCACTGCAGGAAATATTTCTACATATACAATATAATACGACTGACTAATATTTTGTCTTCTTATTAATTTGTTTTGAGGAAACATATTTCTAACAAGCTTTATGTGAGTTTAAATACACTAAACACATAAAAGAACGAAGTGACATGTTTTGTAATTGATTAGACTTACATACCATATTATTACACTATATGTATCGTAAACGTGTTTGGGGAAATTGATTCTGCAGTCGACCAATTTGATTGAAATCCATGGGAATCCCTTCCTTCATCGATCGCTTAGAATTATGACATTGTCTGATTTTTAAACGTTATTCATGTGTATGTGTTAATGTTCCACCGTATTATCACGTGCGACTTATGTTCTAGGAGTCGCGATGTGCGTACGTCATGGTTTTTATGGCTTTGCTATGGATCACGGAGGCTATCCCCATACCTGTGACGTCATTGCTACCTGTCGTTATGTTTCCTATTCTGGGTGTGGTTCCTGCCGCAGAAGTTTGCACCAAATATGTGAATGTTAGTTTATTTTATGAAGCACCAAATAGCATGACGACACCGTGTTAAAACAATTAGTAACTCAGTGTGCCTGTATGTATGAGTGTACCTGTTTGTATGAATGTACCTGTATGTATGAGTGTACATGTATGTATGAGTGTACCTGTATGTATGAGTGTACCTGTATGTATGAGTGAACATGTATGTATGAATGTACCTGTATGTATGAGTGGACCCGTATGTATGAGTGTACCTGTATGTATGAGTGTACCTGTATGTATGAGTGTACATGTATGTATGAGTGTACATGTAAGTATGAGTGGACCCATATGTATGAGTGTACCTGTATGTATGAGTGTACCTGTATGTATGAATGTACCTGTATGAATGAGTGTACCTGTATGTATGAATGTACCTGTATGTATGAGTGTACCTGTATGTAAATTTTAAACCTTATGGTGTTCCTGAAATCCATGCACACCAAACACGCTTCAATAATTTTTCATTTTATCTGGTCAAACCGTCCAATCTTGAGGTTTTCGGATGCATCATATGTACATTATATGTAGATAATAGGAAAGGAACATTTGACTTAAGCGGTTAGTATTTGGTAAAGACACGATACACCGAAATGTAAAACTCATTTTGTTTTAATATATTTTGTTTTAATACTGAAGGACACGACTATGCTATTCATCGGCGGTTTGGTGTTGGCAGTGGCTGTGGAGGAAGTTAATCTACACAAGAGGATAGCACTGGGGATTATATTGGTCTTAGGCTCTCAGCCGAACATGTTCGTGTCTTAGGAGGAACAATAAAATGTTAAACCATGTCACCTTAAAATGTTTCTTTTCATATTCATCTAATGTTTTACTACTCCAGTGATCTTATTTATAACGGATAGGTGTATTTTATGTACAATAAGTTGGATTGTATTGGTAGAAACATGGACACGTATACATTTATCAGTCTTGAGTAACGACATTTTTAAGGGAAAACAAATAACTGCGTTGCTTAATATTTAATATATCATTTACTTTTGATAGCGAGTAAAATAAATAAATTTGTTATTTGCTTTAATAACAGTTCATACAGAAGACTTGTGTTAGAAATAAGAATTGCATTCTTGAATATTTTATTGATTCATCCTTTGCCACTGATCGTAGGCTTCTGCTTGGCCTGATGCTACCCACGTGGTTCCTATCTATGTGGATCAGTAACACGGCGGCTACTTCTATGATGGTACCTATCATTATTGCAGTAGTTGACCAATTGAAAGATATAGAGACTCCATATTCAAAAGGTATGTTTACGAACCGATTCTTTATTAGTACAGACATCAGTTAGATTTATTGGTCAGATCTAGGAAAGATTAAGACAACATCGACTTGCATAACATAAAACCTACACATATCTAACTAACTAAGTCTGAGACAAAGATTATTTTCCTTTATCACAAAACCATACATGTTCGATAAACATGAGACAAACTGTCTGGGACATACACAGTGACAATAATGTTGTTGACCGAAAAGATCTCAATTGGGATTGTAATTTGTTATACTTTGTAAAATTTAATGCAAATTTTCCTTTTTTAATTTATCTACTATTTTCTATGCTAGCATATATGTATCTATGGCTTAAAACCGTTTAATTGACAAATCAAATTAGCACAAATATTAATTGTGCTTCCTGTGATTATCTTAATTAAAACTGACTGTGATATGTTAAAATGTCTTTCACTATTATGATATTTATGTATTTTAGTATCTGATTGTGATATCATGTTTTACTAACCAATGTAATATTTTACTAACTTCAGGACCGTGTGGTAGATTAGCCACAATCTAGAATAAACGATACCAACATACCAGTTATATATATATAGAACGTATCCTTATTGCCAAGATTTTAGTAAAATATAAACTGATGATGTTATAGCTGTTAAGTGTGGTGCAATTTCATTCAGTATGTGACCATGCTCTCTGCAATGTTAATTTTTTATGGCGAGTTACCTGTTTGACTTCTGTACAATATTTATGACGTATTATACATGACGTGAGAACATTAAATGTTGATTGGTCTCACCAGAAGGCCAGGAGAACTACAGCTTTGAACAACATGATGTATCATATGAAGACCATGTTGAGGACAAGTCAACAGGGGAGGAGGTGGAGCTAGCGACAGATGAAAGGTATGCCAATAGTAAAATTTCACATTTGTGTAGAAAGGTGAGATTCACTTGTACGACTTTGAATATCTCTTAATTCATTGCATTTGCTGATTTTCTGTCGTTTGAATTGGAAGTCATGGATTTGCAATTTCATTCAGAGAAGGAAGATTTGTGACATTTTAAACCAAAACAATCAAAATCTGAATGAAATCAAAGTAAGTAATTTATTTCCAGTTTAAGATAGGCATAGTGCAGCTAAGCATTGTGAACTTTCCGTTATTATAATAGCAAATGTATAAATGTTTTAATACGGGGATGACGAAAGGAGGTGAAAACTTGATTCAAACACATTTGTCATATGATAAATACTGATGTTATCGGTTCATTATAAATGTACGTGCGTGTAGAAATACATAAGATAATAAAGGAACATTTTTTCATGCATACGCCGTTTTTCATTAGTTAGGTACAATGTTAGTAATATTCATCTGTCACACCTGTTCCGAATCAATATCATTTCTTGAGAATATAAAACAATTTCGGTTACTTTTTACCCCATAGTATCATTAACAGTTCTGCAACTGTATCAAAGTGTTCATCGGTAAAGGTTAACAACTGCTGAGACCGTCTGGGAGAATTATGTTGATATGAAAGGAAGCGGAGAGGGAACATTAATGCCTTACACACATTGATAGTTTAGATTAATATAGTCACAATGGTATTCAATATTTCAATTCAAATATATAGTCATCACGATGGACGTACAATGGGCGACGAAGAGTTAATGAGAATAGGAAAGGGATTTGCACTCGGTGTGGCTTACAGTGCAAATGTAGGAGGAGTATCAACCCTTACAGGGACTGCACCCAATCTCATTCTCCAAGGACAAGCTAACAGGTACGTCCAATTATAGGCTGTCAAAGTTACAGTATGGGTATTAACCCTTACAGGGACTGCACCCAATCTCATTCTCCAAGGACAAGCTAACAGGTACGTCCAATTATAGGCTGTCAAAGTAACAGTATGGGTATTAACCCTTACAAGGACAGCACCCAATCTCATTCTCCAAGGACAAGCTATCAGGTACGTCCAATTATAGGCTGTCAAAGTAACAGTATGGGTATTAACCCTTACAGGGACTGCACCCAATCTCATTCTCCAAGGACAAGCTAACAGGTACGTCCAATTATAGGCTGTCAAAGTAACAGTATGGGTATTAACCCTTACAGGGACTGCACCCAATCTCATTCTCCAAGGACAAGCTAACAGGTACGTCCAATTATAGGCTGTCAAAGTAACAGTATGGGTATTAACCCTTACAGGGACAGCACCAATTATTCTCCAGGACAAGCCAACAGGTCAATGATAGTGACAAAGTTACAGTATGGGTATTAACCCTTACAGGGACAGCACCCAATCTCATTCTCCAAGGACAAGCCAACAGGTACGTCCAATGATAGACTGACAAAGTTACAGTATGGGTATTAACCCTTACAGGGACTGCACCCAATCTCATTCTCCAAGGACAAGCTAACAGGTACGTCCAATGATAGACTGACAAAGTTACAGTATGGGTATTAACCCTTACAGGGACTGCACCCAATCTCATTCTCCAAGGACAAGCTAACAGGTACGTCCAATGATAGGCTGTCAAAGTAACAGTATGGGTATTAACCCTTACAGGGACAGCACCCAATCTCATTCTCCAAGGACAAGCTAACAGGTACATCCAATGAGAGGCTGTCAAAGTTATGGTATGGGCCTCGAAGAGTATTTGTTATCCATTAGACAAGTGTATTGCCGCAGCAAAGACGAAGGGTAAATGACAGGGAGCATATTGTTCTGGAGATTGCATGTCTCAATTATATCTTTATATTTGAATAAAAGTTTAAAACGTACAAGTATTCAAACATTTACTTTTCACCTTTCATTTTTGTGTCTCAGTTTTGCGTGGCTGAAATAAAAGTGATATATGGTTTTACTGTTTAATTTCAATTGCTTCGTTAGGTAATCATAAACTTTCTATAGAAGAAAGCTAATATGTATGAGTATTATACATTCCCTGAAACATAGAAACACAACTCCGGGAGGACGAATAGCTTTGACAATGAAAAATAAGTAAAACAGGTGATAACGTTATTCCATGTGTTTTGAAGTATATATACCAAGTACATGAACCATCGTGCCTATACTTGTTTTTAGATAAAAACATATTAGGTCTTCTGGTGTACTGATTGTTCCGTCCCTGCTATTTTGATAACACTTGCCATGCCGAAAATGCATTTCGTTTCTGAAATATTGTGTTTTCTTCTTGTTTTTTGTCTTTTAGTTTATATCGTTCTCGAATTGAGGGAGCTGACTCTGGAATTACTTTTGCAAACTGGATGGGATTCGGCGTGCCACTCTCTGTTCTAGTATTATTCTTGGCTTGGATATGGCTTCAGATATACTGCTTACGAGGCAGGTAAGACGTCATGAACATCATCGCTAAATCATTATTTATAAAGTAAACGACTATTTCACAATGTATAAAGTATTCCTGAAGTTATCATGGTAATCAACCTTAGAGTCACACAAAGTCACATATACTTATTCAGCAACCTCGTTACTTATTACTTGTGTCTATGGCTGAGCATTTTCTTTTTATATCATTGACTCGGTGTTAGATTGTGACAAACAGTATCATTGACTCGGTGGTAGATTGTAACAAAAAACATCACTGACTCGGTGAATGACTCGGTGTTAGATTGTGACAAACAGTATCATTGACTCGGTGGTAGATTAAGACAAACATTATCATTGACTCGGTGTTAGATTGTGACAAACAGTATCATTGACTCGGTGTTAGATTGTGACAAACAGTATCATTGACTCGGTATTAGATTGTGACAAACGTTATCACTGACTCGGTGATTGACTCGGTGGTAGACTGTGACAAACAGTATCATTGACTCGGTGATTGACTCGGTTGTAGATTGTGACAAACAGTATCATTGACTCGGTGGTAGATTAAGACAAACATTATCATTGACTCGGTGTTAGATTGTGACAAACAGTATCATTGACTCGGTGTAACAAACAATTTCGTAAATAATTGTTCGTTGGGCAGGTGTCTTAAAAACGTCAGTGATATCAAGAAGACACGTGTTAAAATGGCGATCAGAAGTGAGTACAACAAACTGGGAGCTTTCAGGTAACAAATTTTATTTTTGGTTTTACATTTTCCATAATATCCATAAAAATAGACATTTCTCCAACGATTCAATTTACATTGATTTTAAATTTGTAACCATTGATATCCATATAATCAAAACCTTCATTTCTCTGCTCTAACAACGGAATTACTGAAACACTGCTGAAGATCAAAAGAGAACTACATTCAGTAGCACACTGAATAGTGAAAAAGATACAACATATAGCTGCTTTGTCCCTCTGGGACTCGTTACTATTACTAAGGACCTTACTTTTGAAACTTAGGAGGTGACAGAGGGAGATCCAAAGTGATCTTAATAATAGGGCGGGACCACTCCACCAACATCTTAATAAATAAAGTACCTTATACATATATCATATATATTATAATGTTCGCAGGGTAAACAAAAGGATAGTATAAGTATATATAGTGTGACATTGGTCAGATTCCAGGAGATAGTTGTGATCATCCTCTTCACCATACTGGTTTTACTGTGGTTATTCCGGGATATTCCGAATGTTGGGGGCTGGAGGTTTTTGTTTCCAGAGGATCCTGTCTCGTAAGTACGTCTGTATTTTTATTTTCCTCTACACGACTTGGACTTAAAGTATTAATAAATCCGACGATGAACAATGACTATTTCTATGAAATAAGGCATATCAGAAGTATGGGCATATGAAATTCAGTTAAATATTGGGTCCACACCTTCACTTTATTTCATTGTTCTTATCGTAGGTCTGCAGCGTTTTTCTGATCGAAAAGGGTAAGATTTCAAGCAACAATGTGTCTAGTGTTTTTTTTCAGGAACTTTTGTATCGTAGAGTTGATTGGTGCGATTTTTAGAACAGAATAACCGCGGAAATTATAAATTGAAGTCGAGTGAATAACAGCAATAGCCGTTCATAAATTTAATCAATGGGGTGTGTGTCTTAATTTCCAGTGGAGCGTTCGTCCGTGATTCTAGCGCCGCCATTGGTATTGCTGTCCTCCTCTTTCTCTTGCCCTCCACCTTTCCTAGAGTGCTATGTTGTCGACAAAATAACGGTAAGCTTAAGTCGCATACCTGACCTGGCGAATGATGAATTCAATAAAATTTCACGTGGATATCCTAGTTGTAAGAGCATACTATCAGTCCTTCTGGTTGATCAAGCCTATTCTGCTTCATTAACAGTATGTGAGAAAAATAATTTGTTATTTAGAAATATATGGCTAGGTCGTTAGTGCTTTTCTTTAGAATCCTTTTAATTTATGAAATCTTTTTTTTTTTTTTTCAGTTTTGTTCTGTGACACTTCGTAAATATAACTGTGCATATATCGTTCCGGCGGTGCGTGTTCCAATAATATTAAACATCTGTTGATGATTTTGTCATTATGTGGTGTTTATATTCTTCAATAGCAAATGGCGATTACGACCAACATGAGTACAAACCTATCCTGGACTGGCAAACGACCGCACGAAAAATACCGTGGGGAGTGATCCTTCTCTTGGGTGGAGGTTTCGCTCTTGCCGATGGAAGCTCGGTAGGTGCACGATGGTCGCAACTCTGCATCAACGTGTACAGTATACTTTTGTTTAAAATGATGACAAAATGTTTGATACTATAATATATTACCATGTTTCGTGTATCCAAACAACTAATAACAATTTCGTGTGGTTTTATACGTTAAAACATCCATGGACTTGTACATAAGACTCTTATTTGAGTCGCGTCTTCAAACAAACAAAACAAAAAACAAAACAAAAAAACAAAAAAAACAAAAAACAAAACAAAACAAAATCAATAATTGGGTTACACTTTAATGCCATTGATGGATAATGCTAAATGATGTAAATGCATCGTCTGTTTAGAACATTGGAACTCTTATAACAAACTGGAACAGTTATGTCAAAGGTCAAACGTCGTTTAGAAGGCAAGTTGTAAAAAGTTATTCTGCTTAGACAAAGGAAATAGTCTCACTTGCCTGTTTGTTATAACTTTCATGAACAGGCATCTGGGCTGTCTAGCTGGGTCGGATGTCAATTGCGCGTGTTCAGTGACCTTGAACCATGGGTCATGAACTTAATCCTCTGCCTTATCGTGGCTGGAGCTACGGAGATAACCAGCAACACGGCTACGGCAACACTTCTCATGCCTATAATGGCGGAACTGGTAGGTTACAATAGCTGTAAAAAACTGTGAAAAATTCCAATTGTAATTGAATACAGTTCCGTGACGTGTGCATAGATTGACATATATGTGATCACAAGCGATATGCTAAATGTCATTAAACACATTTTTGAATTACATAGGTATATTACTTTTTATGTATATTTTTACTACATACAGAATTCGATATCATAATGCATGATCTATTCCTTTGCTAAGGGATTGATCTAGTGAATATTCTTGCAGGCCGTCAACATCGGAGAACACCCTCTCTACCTTATGATATCAGCTGCCATTTCCTGTTCGTTCGCATTCATGTTGCCCGTGGCTACACCTCCTAACGCTATTGTCTTTTCCACCGGCTATCTCAGGATACCAGATATGGTAATGGAAGTACAAGGATGCTGACGAGAGGACCATTGGAATATATTGTAAAGAACGGGAGGGAATAACCTTAGAAGGTCTAACATACGGTGTTGATAAGAGGTCTAGTGAAATACATGGTAAAAAAGGGGAAGGTTTAGTTTTATACATATATACAGTATAGACGAGAGGGCCAGTGGAATACATAGTAATATAACGGGAAGGAATAGCTTTAGAATCACAAACTTACAGTATAGACGAGAGGGCTAGTGGAATACATAGTAATATAACGGGAAGGAATAGCTTTAGAATTAAAAACATACAGTATAGACGAGAGGGCCAGTGGAATACATAGTAATATAACGGGAAGGAATAGCTTTAGAATTAAAAACATACAGTATAGACGAGAGGGCTAGTGGAATACATAGTAATATAACGGGAAGGAATAGCTTTAGAATTAAAAACATACAGTATAGACGAGAGGGCCAGTGGAATACATAGTAATATAACGGGAAGGAATAGCTTTAGAATTAAAAACATACAGTATAGACGAGAGGGCCAGTGGAATACATGGTAATATCACGGGAAGGAATAGCTTTAGTATAGACGAGAGGGCTAGTGGAATACATAGTAATATAACGGGAAGGAATAGCTTTAGAATTAAAAACATACAGTATAGACGAGAGGGCCAGTGGAATACATAGTAATATAACGGGAAGGAATAGCTTTAGAATCACAAACATACAGTATAGACGAGAGGGCCAGTGGAATACATGGTAATATCACGGGAAGGAATAGCTTTAGAATCACAAACATACAGTATAGACGAGAGGGCTAGTGGAATACATAGTAATATAACGGGAAGGAATAGCTTTAGAATTAAAAACATACAGTATAGACGAGAGGGCTAGTGGAATACATAGGAAAGGACGATAGGGAATAGCTTTAGAATAACAAACATACAGTATAGACGAGAGGGCTAGTGGAATACATAGGAAAGGACGATAGGGAATAGCTTTAGAATAACAAACATACAGTATAGACGAGAGGGCTAGTGGAATACATAGGAAAGGACGATAGGGAATAGCTTTAGAAATCACAAACATACAGTATAGACGAGAGGGCTGGTGGAATACATAGGAAAGGACGATAGGGAATAGCTTTAGAAATCACAAACATACAGTATAGACGAGAGGGCTAGTGGAATACATAGAAAAGGACGATAGGGAATAGCTTTAGAATCACAAACATACAGTATAGACGAGAGGGCTAGTGGAATACATAGGAAAGGACGATAGGGAATAGCTTTAGAAATCACAAACATACAGTATAGACGAGAGGGCTGGTGGAATACATAGGAAAGGACGATAGGGAATAGCTTTAGAAATCACAAACATACAGTATAGACGAGAGGGCTAGTGGAATACATAGGAAAGGACGGGAAGAAATAGCTTTAGCAAATATACAGTGATGATAAGAGAGATTGTAGAATACATTGTCAAGGGCGTGTGAGAAAAAAGATAAGGTTATGACAAAAAAGCCAGTCAAATAGCCTGTAAAGGACGGATGAGGACAGCTTTAAACGTACTTAGGGAAACAGGAGATAGCAATAAGACCAACCTGAGGACTTGAGAGACTGCGGTTCCTTGGAAACAAGGGGTAACATCGTGAAGACTGGAGGGTAGAAATTACAATGGCTGCAAAACTATAGCAATAGGGAGTAATATCGCAGGTACTGGAGGATAGTGATAGCAAAGGCGGATGATCTTTGCCATAAGGTTTAACACCGCGGGAATTTGAGGGCAGCAATGTCAATGGTAGGAAAATGCACAAATTAGTTGAGAATGGTGCAGAAATATACTTAAATGATGCATGCATGGTAGTGGAGGGTGATGGGTTACTCGGCAGAAAACATACTGATGTACATGTTATTTATTTTTTAGGCATTGGCTGGAATGATGATGAACCTGATAGCAGTGGTACTGATGTATACCACAGTGTAAATACACTCAGAATGAGTCAAAGCTGTAACAGTGGTGTTAACATGTACTGATGTATACCACAGTGTGAATACACTCAGAATGAGTCAAAGCTGTAACAAAAGTAAATGCATCCTCGTGTGACCTCTCAGAAAATATCATCACAGGGTCGCCAATCTTCACATCTACCATAGCCTTGGCCACAGTGTAAATACACTCAGAATGAGTACAAAGTGCAACAGTGGTGTTAAATACTGACACACAGTGTAAATACAGAATGAGTCAAAGTTGTAACAGTGGTGTTAACATGTACTGATGTATACCACAGTGTAAATACACTCAGAATGAGTCAGAGCTGTAACAGTGGTGTTAACATGTACTGATGTATACCACAGTGTAAATACACTCACTCAGAATGAGTCAAAGTTGTAACAGTGGAAATACCAAGTACTGATGTATACCAGTGTAAATACACTCAGAATGAGTCAAAGCTGTAACGGTAGTGTTAACATGTACTGATGTATACCACAGTGTAAATACACTCAGAATGAGTCAAAGCTGCAACAGTGGTGTTAACATGTACTGATGTATACCACAGTGTTAATACACTCAGAATGAGAGTCAAAGCTGTAACAGTGGTGTTAACATGTACTGATGTATACCACAGTGTAAATACACTCAGAATGAGTCAAAGCTGTAACAGTGGTGTTAACATGTACTGATGTATACCACAGTGTAAATACACTCAGAATGAGTCAAAGTTGTAACAGTGGAAATACCAAGTACTGATGTATACCAGTGTAAATACACTCAGAATGAGTCAAAGCTGTAACAGTAGTGTTAACATGTACTGATGTATACCACAGTGTAAATACACTCAGAATGAGTCAAAGCTGTAACAGTGGTGTTAACATGTACTGATGTATACCACAGTGTAAATACACTCAGAATGAGTCAAAGCTGTAACAGTGGTGTTAACATGTACTGATGTATACCACAGTGTAAATACACTCAGAATGAGTCAAAGCTGTAACAGTGGTGTTAACATGTACTGATGTATACCACAGTGTAAATACACTCAGAATGAGTCAAAGCTGTAACAGTGGTGTTAACATGTACTGATGTATACCACAGTGTAAATACACTCAGAATGAGTCAAAGCTGTAACAGTGGTGTTAACATGTACTGATGTATACCACAGTGTAAATACACTCAGAATGAGTCAAAGCTGTAACAGTGGTGTTAACATGTACTGATGTATACCACAGTGTAAATACACTCAGAATGAGTCAAAGTTGTAACAGTGGAAATACCAAGTACTGATGTATACTAGTGTAAATACACTCAGAATGAGTCAAAGCTGTAACGGTAGTACTGATGTATACCACAGTGTACTGAATGTATGTAACAGTGGTGTTAATACTGATGTATACCACAGTGTAAATACACTCAGAATGAGTCAGAGCTGTAACAGTGGTGTTAACATGTACTGATGTATACCACAGTGTAAATACACTCAGAATGAGTCAAAGCTGTAACAGTGGTGTTAACATGTACTGATGTATACCACAGTGTAAATACACTCAGAATGAGTCAAAGCGGCAACAGTGCTGGTAACATGTACTGATGTATACCACAGTGTAAATACACTCAGAATGAGTCACTGATGTAACATGTACTGATGTATACCACAGTGTAAATACACTCAGAATGAGTCAAAGCTGCAACAGTGGTGTTAACATGTACTGATGTATACCACAGTGTAAATACACTCAGAATGAGTCAAAGTTGTAACAGTGGTGTTAACATGTACTGATGTATACCACAGTGTAAATACACTCAGAATGAGTCAAAGCTGTAACGGTAGTGTTAACATGTACTGATGTATACCACAGTGTAAATACACTCAGAATGAGTCAAAGCTGCAACAGTGGTGTTAACATGTACTGATGTATACCACAGTGTAAATACACTCAGAATGAGTCAGAGCTGTAACAGTGGTGTTAACATGTACTGATGTATACCACAGTGTAAATACACTCAGAATGAGTCAAAGCTGTAACAGTGGTGTTAACATGTACTGATGTATACCACAGTGTAAATACACTCAGAATGAGTCAAAGCTGTAACAGTGGTGTTAACATGTAACCACAGTGTAAATACACTCAGAATGAGTCAAAGCTGTAACAGTGGTGTTAACATGTACTGATGTATACCACAGTGTAAATACACTCAGAATGAGTCAAAGCTGTAACAGTGGTGTTAACATGTACTGATGTATACCACAGTGTAAATACACTCAGAATGAGTCAAAGCTGTAACAGTGGTGTTAACATGTACTGATGTATACCACAGTGTAAATACACTCAGAATGAGTCAAAGCTGTAACAGTGGTGTTAACATGTACTGATGTATACCACAGTGTAAATACACTCAGAATGAGTCAAAGCTGTAACAGTGGTGTTAACATGTACTGATGTATACCACAGTGTAAATACACTCAGAATGAGTCAAAGCTGTAACAGTGGTGTTAACATGTACTGATGTATACCACAGTGTAAATACACTCAGAATGAGTCAAAGCTGTAACAGTGGTGTTAACATGTACTGATGTATACCACTCAGAATGTAAACAGTGGTGTTAACATGTACTGATGTATACCACAGTGTAAATACACTCAGAATGAGTCAAAGCTGTAACAGTGGTGTTAACATGTACTGATGTATACCACAGTGTAAATACACTCAGAATGAGTCAAAGCTGTAACAGTGGTGTTAACATGTACTGATGTATACCACAGTGTAAATACACTCAGAATGAGTCAAAGCTGTAACAGTGGTGTTAACATGTACTGATGTATACCACAGTGTAAATACACTCAGAATGAGTCAAAGTTGTAACAGTGGTGTTAACATGTACTGATGTATACCACAGTGTAAATACACTCAGAATGAGTCAGAGCTGTAACAGTGGTGTTAACATGTACTGATGTATACCACAGTGTAAATACACTCAGAATGAGTCAAAGTTGTAACAGTGGAAATACCAAGTACTGATGTATACCAGTGTAAATACACTCAGAATGAGTCAAAGCTGTAACAGTAGTGTTAACATGTACTGATGTATACCACAGTGTAAATACACTCAGAATGAGTCAAAGCTGTAACAGTGGTGTTAACATGTACTGATGTATACCACAATGTAAATACACTCAGAACGAGTCAAAATTGTAACTGCAGTGATAACAAGTTCCCTGTGACGACCCATACGTATGCAGTTCATTGAAAATACGATAATCTGCTCTCACTTTATACACATATGCACGTTAGGTTCAAACATAACGACACTATAACATCACAAATAATGTTATGTCGTGTATATTACTAACCAATTTTCATTTATTCTATGGTCTTTCGAAAGACAACATAGATAATTAATGTTATTCGATTTGTGTTATTAAAATGTGAGCTAGTTAAAGCTAATATGTAAGTTAATTAAAATATTCAAAATCTGTCTGTTCCACATTTGTCAGAGTTTTTAATCATAATTTATCAGCCATAATGAGTTTGATTTAGTTAACGACAACTTTTGACCAGTGGTCAGATGTATACTGTTGTTACTTTATCTAGTACACATGGTCAATGTTTTCAATTAATTCCCTGATTACATAAGTTATTATATAAGTTCTGTCTAGGCAGTTCGCATGAAGGTCAGTGTATACTAATCTTGTGAAAAACTTTGTAATCTACGGCTATGCTCTTGTACAACTGGATGTCAGTAACTCGTGTATTACACAATCTTTGTTAGTCTGTTTATCTGTTGTGTAATAACCAACAGTTTCGTAAAGTTGGGTATAATTACAACCTTATATCTAGCCAGTAGGAATCGGCTCCTGAAGGTACATGATTACCAGCTCTACATAGCCTACAGTTCAATAGACGTACAACAACCCGAACAGCGTCTGGACTTCATTTTAAATGTTACATTCCCGGATTTACTAGACCTGCTTTACTAATTAGGGAGGACTTTTTAGAACGCTCTTCCGCTTTCCCTCGAGCTGCTGTCCATTCAATGTTGTTTGATTTTTCACTATTTTCGAGAATGAAATGACATTGTGAAAATTCGATCCCACAATAATAAAGTCATCTAAGATATCCACTCGCATCGTTCAACGTTCAGCGCAATATTTGATAATGATATATGAATGTAATTAGACTAGAAATAACGATTTAACAGCTAGCTGATGTGGAAAGCATTTATTTCTAGTAACAAAACAGCTTTAACACAGATTTAAACATAATGGGTAATATCTACAAATTACCTATATAAAATTAGATAACTGAACATACACAAAAATGTATATAACTTTATTATAGACATTATGGATAAAGATACCAGATAGAAGCACTGCAACTGAACAAAATATATGTAAACGCAAAATAAATGCATTCCATACAGGAAACAAGTTTGAAAACTTAACATCAAACATGGTTCGTAACTGAAAAAAGTGGCACATAAAACTTAACAGTAGAGTTTCTTAAATCAGTGAAGACTGAAAACGGTGAAAAACAATAAAAACCGTTTTCTTCGGACACCCGTTCGCTTCTTCTAAATTTTTGGCATTGTACGGGAATAGCATGACGGTTGACTGGGCAAAATAATGACTGATTGTAATGGAGAATCTCACAATGCTCACAATAACTTAAGTTACACTACACTATAATCAAAAGAGTCTAACTGTCTCGTGGACTGGTGAGATAATACCATCAAAACACAAGTATCATCTGATATTATGAAGGAAAATAATTTGATCGCACAATTAAGGAAAAATATAATGCTGTCTTAAAAAAGCAATTCAATTTGAATACATGATGTGACACACACACACACAACACACACACATATATATATACAGATTCTAGTCAGTAATATCGACGGTATGGTCCAATATTGGTAGTGGATCCTAACAAACAAATGTTCGTTGGATGCATATTGTCGGAATAGATATATGATCAATGAAGTGATAACAACAGTACATTATTACTTCATATTCTTCTCTCCAATCACATATACACTCAGTGGCCACAGTTCACAAGTACCGAGACCTAATCAAACATTTTTGATATTTGAATCATCATCTTTCATACCTCCACATGAGATGTTTTTGTCCCTGACAAAAGGCCTTTGCGTCCATGGCCAAAGGGATTATCAAAACACCTATATTTACACTACTGTTCTGGATTTTTGTTTACAACTTCATATCTGTTTTATGTTCTAAGTATGTGATGTAATTTATGTAATAATTTTTTTGTCTTGATAAAGGGGCAGATTGACTCAACAATTTGACAATTCACTTGTCCGTACTGTCTTATTACTTCATTTATCATATATACATGTATATTCGACTGGTGTTTACCCCTCCTAACAAGATAAATACAAAACTTTGATCCAATCAGCTAAGGTATATTGTTATCTTATCACTGTAAAAACCAAGGGTTTAACGCAAACATCGTACACTGTGTAGCTAAAACAAAGAATATACCAGATATTGACATCAAATGTACAATATATATTAAACAAACAGTAATAAAAAAATAACAATTTGTTTTTGATAATCTCACTTTTAGAGGAAAAATGTAAAAAAATATGGATGCTTTAACAAGTGTAATCAAAGATGCAAAGAAAAGAAAAACAATATAACAATGGTAGCATATTTGTATCAATAAGGTCTGAAGAGACAAACAGAAAATCATAATAACAATACGACATGATAGAATAATGAACTAACATCAAGTAATTAATAGGTGAAAAATACCAACACAGTAACACCAGATCTAATATATAAAAGTCAGTAAATAGAATGGTTTGTAAAAGCTTTCAAAAAGCCCATTGATCTGTCAATGAATCATTAGTGTTTTAATGGATAATAAAAAATACCAATTCTCTCAAACGAAAGTCTAGTTTCTGAAGCAGATTTGATCGGTTTCATTCAGAAAAAAACATTTGACAACACATTTCAAGGTGAAGATATACTTAACATAATTCAGATATCAAGTTAGCTTTTATGTTTGTTTCACTAGATCATTACTTATCGCAAATGCATAGATCATGTATAACTGACAGGGTTCTGACAATTCACAATAACACATTAATTGATATTCATATTAATATATTAATAAAATGTGTTGAACATATAATCTCAAAAACAAACACCATTAGAAGAGATTCAAAAAAAAAAAAAAAAAAAATAAAAAAAAATATTGTAAAGTACAAAAAAACCTTGTATTTCATTAAACATTACAAAATGGTTATAACCTCATATTGCTAGTAAAACATCGGTCATACTTTAACAGGTCTGTCACAACCTACTGGGTACCGTCTTGATGTAACAAAGTTTAATTTGTACTTAAAAACTGCTTCTCTCTATAGAGGATAAGAGGGGTCCTGGCGCACATCTTTGTTTGGTCTGTACTTTTTTCTTTGAAAGTTTGATCTTTTTCTTTGTTTGCTATTCTTTTTAATGACAGGTTGTTATTTTTTGTTCCAATTTTCGTTTTCAGTTATATGAAATTATGAATACTTTTTGTTAAAGAAATAGCAAAAATAATATTTAATAATCAAATCCAAGGTACATATGTATATGAAGTCGCTTCGCTGCTATTTTTGTTTTCTGATCAGTCTCAACATCAAAATGGCACAAGGGACCTTGGGAAACTTACATATAAAATTTGGGCAAGATTACATCCAAATAAAAAGAAACAATTTTTCATAGGTGAAATTCAATGTCAGCCGTTTTGTTCTTGTTGGCACAACACTGGACCAAAGGGAACCTACCTACATTTTAGAAAGGTCCACAGAATACTTCTCTAGAAACAAAAAATGAGGATGGCCATTCATCATCCATCTTGATTAATTGCTCGATATCAAAATGAACCAAAGAGAACCTGCATTTGAAATTTGAGAATGACCCGAGAAATGTCCATTTTGTTTTCAGATCATTCCCAAAATTGGGCAACGTGTAACAAGAGACCAAGTGGATGCAACAAATGAAATTTGAGAATAATTCATCCTGCATAATTCAAACCTCAGTAAATGGTGATAACAAAGATTTTAGGTTAAAATCAATGATAACCGCCTTACGAGCATATTGGCTTTTATAAGATCGGTCCCATATGGGACAATGCATAACAAGGGAACAATGAGAACCTATCTATGATTAGCAAAATGCTCAGCTAGCATTTTCAAGAAATAACAATAACAAGATTTTTTCAAGGACAGATGGACAGACGACGAATTACGGAAGAAGAACAATTTTAACAGTCCACCTTGTAATGAAGGTGCACTGAGAAGGAATAACTGATTATTGGACACAAAATATTAACGCAGAGCAATAATTCTGTACTTCAGGGTTTCAGGCACTGTGTACCCTGTTAGTATGTATATGTTGTATATACCAAGGTTCATTATCTCAGTTTAAATGAAAGCAAAGTTGTTCTCTGAACCAAAAAGGTTTACAAAGGGTACTAACTCTGTAATTGAGGATTTGTAGGCTTTGAATTTGGTAAAATGAACATTGTCTTTCTATGACTAATGCATGTATCAAGTTTCATTATCTTAGCTTTCATGCAAACAAAGAAATTATATGCACAAGAATATTTTTAACAAAGGGCAATAACTCTGTAACAGAGGGGTTGAGGGCCCTGGATGTGGTACACTGCACATTAGTTTAAAAAGATCAATGTTTCATGATTACTGCTTAACTGTTAAGTTATGCTCCGGACAAAAATGAACAGAAAGACTGAGATATGGAAGAGGCGATAACTATATGCCCCTTTGTAAATTTTAGGGGAGCATAAATTGTAAACCATACATAAAACAAGGTATTTTCAATTTGTTGCTAAGGCAACAGATGCTTAAAAAACATAACCCATAAATTACAATAAAATGACAGAAGTTGGAAGAATAAATGGCTAAAGGATATTTTCTTACCTTCACACATTACCTACATTTTGTAAAATAATAGACCGAGGGTAGGTGGTAGGAGAGATACCAGTTACCAGCTTCAGTGATAGATAGAAAGAAGATGGTAGCTTGATGGACAAACAATCAAATATCTAGTATAATTGATAGGTAGGTTGGAATTTGTTGGGGACATGGTGGATCAAAAGAAGGTTTAAGGAGGTATTTAGTACATATAGCAGGGAATGAAGGGAAAAATCCTATAACATATGATTAAAAAACAAGCTTCAGTGACTTTTACATTAGGTAAGTAAGGTAATAGGAATGAGTGAGAGAGCCTCATGTACTTATACAAAGCAGGTTACATTGCTCTTTTTATGAGTGTATACATGTACATTGTACACAAAAGGGCAGCATAGTCATACCAATATGTATATTCTATTGCTAATATGTATTATACATATGTATATAATAAATTTATATATAAATATATATATATATATCCATATATAACTATATCAATCTCAAAGTAACCTATCTTAACCCATTTTTCTGATAAACTAAACAATTTCTCATGAATCATGGGAATAGAAATCCCACATTCAACATTAGTTTATTTAAAAATATTTCAAAAGACAAAAGAAATAAACTGCTGTAGGAATTCTAGCAAGGACAGTGGATCGAATGAAAAGTTACAACAAATGATGGTATCTATTATTGATTTGTTACTGTTTGAAACTTATCAGAAAAAATTCCAACTAGAGACAATGCTTGTCATTTCATTTTGAATTGATCAAAAGAATTTCAATAATTAGAAGAATGAACATGTTTGATTGTGAATACGACAACAGCAACATGTCATTATATAATTATTTTTTCCATATTATAATCTCAACTGTTGCTTTAAAGTTTTAACATTTAATGAAGATAAAATTCTAGTCAAACAAATAGGATAATAATTTCTATGATTAATGTATTCTGTCTCCATGGAATCAAATGTGTCTTCTTAATAACAGAATTTTCACATGTTAAGCTCCGTTAGATATAATTTGCCATGTAGCTGCTATAAATGTAGAGCTACTAAAGAGTTTCTAAACTAATCAAAGACATCAGACTCTTACCTAACTACGAAACAGCAGGATCAGTTCCTCAAATAGTCAATACATATGTGGGCAAATGTATTACAACATGTGCTTTCAATTAGATTTTGACCTCTTCCTGAGATTTTACCGAGACTGAAAGCTGCCCCTTGCATTGCAAAGGAGCAGTAATATATCATTCCTAATAAATTAAAAACCCTAACTATTCTAATCTATATCTACCATTTTTTTCTATCTAGGAGACACAGTCCTTCATTGAATTAACATACTTCAATGGAGACAGACACCAGAGGTTGTATTCCCAGCAGAAATCCTATTCCTCTATCTACAAAGATAGTGTCATGGCGATTGAACATGATTTTTTGGGTTGTATGTAAGTTGACCTGATGATATCCTTCTCTTCAATTCCCCCCACAGGAGATTCTTCTCCTTTTTCACTTTTTTGAGGATGCCACGGTTCTCCATCGCACGACGAGATAGATATGGAAGCACTTCCTCCACAGGACCATAAGGTACATATTTGTACACAGAGTAACCAGCTTGGCCTGTAACATACAGTGAATGGAAATGTATCAATAGTATAAATCAATATTAATGCATTATATATGTTTATAATCAATATGAATATATTCATAATGCCATTAATTTAATCAAAGAATAAAAAAACCAGAACATTTTTTTCTAAAGTCATAGATGAATTTGCCTATTGCCCAATATTGTAACACAGCATTTGACCTCTTAAATCTTCAATATATTTCAATTGAAATTTCCAATCATCACACCATAGCTGTACAAAGATAAAAGCCATATATTCAATGTTATGACTCTTGGTCTTAGATCTTGGGACTTGTAGAGAAATGTAATCATACCTAAAAATGTATGTTGACATTTCATCCCAGCTAGCAGTCCATGCTGACCTTTATATTTGAATTCATTAAAAAATTGAAGATATGTCCGAGTGATGTGGCATTAGATGAAACTTACAGTGACTTTCATGTGTTTTAGACATAGGACAACCGAAGAAAACATACATAACTACATACACAAAAGAAACATGTTGACCTAATACACTGGCTACATCTGACCCCACTGCTCAACACTGACAAATAGAAAACGAACTTCTTTGAAGCATCCAACTATACTTACCTAACGGGAAACTGACTTGATCACACATGCCCAATAGCTGGCCAAAACAGATGAGGCGGTCAGACGGTCGAATTTTGAATTCCTTCATCCTACAAGATACCGAAATTCATAATAAAATAATTCTTAGTTACCTTAAGCTAACATCAAATCATTTAAGTACGATAGCTTTATTCCTAAATGTAATTCACAACTTCTGCTCCACCAACTTTCTTCCTTTTCTTTATGTGGGCTGGTGGGTTGGAGGGTAGGACACGATATCACCCTGATTACATCTACTCTCTGTATTGGTTCAGCAGTGCATTATTCATATCAATCATTTGTTGATTAAATATTAGAAAACAAATCAGTGTAGATAAGTATACTGAAAGGATAAAGAAACGCAGGATAATATTTATTCCGATATTTTGAAAACACAGTCTCCAAATAAAGTGAAACTTTGTGGATTGAGTAATTAGGTCATATTACACCTTGTCATGTATCGAAAATTTAGTCACAGTACAGTGCGCAGCTCTGGTAAATGGAGGAAGGAAAAAACAAGAATCTCGCGCACCGTGTTGTTCTGGTCTCATGCAGCGTTGGTCAAGTCACTCTTCGTTAGTCTTTATACACACCAACTACTTCCCTAAAATTAATTGAGAATTTGCTTCGTTTTAAGAATGGCACGACTCACAGAAGTTCAGAGGGGTCAGGCCATTCAGATGCTGATGCAAGGACAGCTGCCAAATCAAATTGCTAGGCACTTTGGTGTTAATATTTTCACCATAGAACGTCTTGTAAGACGTCTTCGGGAAACTGGGTGATTGGCCGATCGACCTAGGTAAGGATGTCTGTGCGTAACGTCACGGCGTCAGGATCGCTATATCGTCGTCTCTCATGTGCGTAATCGGCGCCTTACTGCCGTTGAGAGTGCACTTAATGTTCGTGGAAATCATGGGCGTCCTATAATTTCAAAAGCTGTAAGTAATCGATTAAGAGAAGTTGGTGTAAGAGCATGTCGCCCCTACGTAGGTCCACACCTTACCCCTGCTCGACGTCAGCGTTGTATGGCCTGGGTGGCTGCACATGCTCCACGACGGTTTCCACTGAGGCAGTGGAGACAAGTTTTCTTCACGGACGAGTCTCGATTCTGTCTTTATCGATCTGACGGCCGTCAACGTGTCTACTGATGTCGTGGCGAATGTTTTACGGATGTTTGCATTGTAGCGAGGGATAGGTTTGGGGGCAGTTCAGTAATGGTGTGTGGAGGAATCTCACACAGGTTAAAATCACAATTGGTTGTTATTAATGGTAATTTAACAGCAGCTAAGTATAGAGATGAGATCCTCCGACCCCATGTTATCCCTTTCTTACAGCAGCATAATCTAACCCTCCAGCAGGATAATGCTAGACCTCACGTAGCAAGGATTTGCCAAGTCTTTCTGGCCAACAACAACATTCAACCACTAGATTGGCCGCCATATAGCCCTGATTTGTCCCCGATTGAGCATCTTTGGGACCAGTTGGATAGACAGGTTCGAAAGCGCCAGCCACACCCTGCTACTTGAGAGCAGTTGACCAGAACTCTGATTGAAGAGTGGGACAACATCCCCATAAGACGGATTAACGCTCTTATGAACTCTATAACCAGAAGAATAAGGGCCGTGACCACAGCAAACGGCGGACACACAAGATATTGATGACTCAGTTCAATTTCAATTTCAAAATCCTATGGGTCCATTCAATTTAATCGTTAGTACCTCTAAACCAATTGTCAGATGCAAAATACAGACTTTGGAAATTTTTAAGCTTTAATTTATCTGTAAGTGTACAAAATTTCATTTTAAATGAAGCCCGATATCATACTTAATTTCTGGTTTAAAATTCACCCTGCGTTTCTTTATCCTTTAAGTATACAAACACTCCAGACTTACTTTTCTACGGTATATCTAACTGTATCCTCATTGTGACTAGCCACCATCACTGCAATCTTCCCCCGATCTCTGCAGTTTATTTGTCTCATCACCTCCTCCAGAGTTTGGTGGTACATGTCTGAGGTTGCCTCGTAGCTAGGATTGATGGGATCCTCATAGCCTATTTCATGTGCTCGCTCTCTCTCCTGATAAAATACACATTGCTCAAACTGATTCTTAATCTTTCTTCTCACACAAGAAAACAAACTATAAATGTAAAGGAGATGCTGATTACAACTGTTGTACATAGTAATAGTAACCTTGACCTTTGAAGCCTGAAATGATAATTAATTCAGGGAATTCTTAGTCCAATTTGTTAAAAAAAATTGCAAAGAAAGAAAGTTGCTAAGGCAATATCAAATTAATCAATAGTTTTCCAACAAATGCAGTAGTGACCTTATAATGACCTTAAAACCCTAATACAAAAACTATACAATTCTCATCAATTAACTTTTACCTTAGAATGAGGTATTTTGATCAATGAACCTTTAATTAAATCCCTTCAGAAGTAAAGTTACAAATATATGTACTTTGTACAGTTATAATTCTGTTTGTAATAACTTGTTTCATGCACTTCTGTGAGATCATTATTACTCAAAATGATCTTTAGCCATCATGATAGCAAATCTGAGGACCAGACCTGACTCTTTAATTCTGGGATATTGTTAAATCTGAGGACCAGACCTGACTATCTAATTCTGTGATATTGTTAAATCTGAGGACCAGACCTGACTCTTTAATTCTGTGATATTGTTAAATCTGAGGACCAGACCTGACTCTTTAATTCTGGGATATTGTTAAATCTGAGGACCAGACCTGACTATCTAATTCTGGGATATTGTTAAATCTGAGGACCAGACCTGACTCTTTAATTCTGGGATATTGTTAAATCTGAGGACCAGACCTGACTATCTAATTCTGGGATATTGTTAAATCTGAGGACCAGACCTGACTATCTAATTCTGGGATATTGTTAAATCTGAGGACCAGACCTGACTCTTTAATTCTGGGATATTGTTAAATCTGAGGACCAGACCTGACTCTTTAATTCTGTGATATTGTTAAATCTGAGGACCAGACCTGACTATCTAATTCTGGGATATTGTTAAATCTGAGGACCAGACCTGACTCTTTAATTCTGTGATATTGTTAAATCTGAGGACCAGACCTGACTCTTTAATTCTGTGATATTGTTAAATCTGAGGACCAGACCTGACTCTTTAATTCTGTGATATTGTTAAATCTGAGGACCAGACCTGACTCTTTAATTCTGGGATATTGTTAAATCTGAGGACCAGACCTGACTCTTTAATTCTGGGATATTGTTAAATCTGAGGACCAGACCTGACCTTTAATTCTGGATATTGTTAAATCTGAATTGACTCTTTAATTCTGGGATATTGTTAAATCTGAGGACCAGACCTGACTCTTTAATTCTGGGATATTGTTAAATCTGAGGACCAGACCTGACTCTTTAATTCTGGGATATTGTTAAATCTGAGGACCAGACCTGACTATCTAATTCTGGGATATTGTTAAATCTGAGGACCAGACCTGACTCTTTAATTCTGTGATATTGTTAAATCTGAGGACCAGACCTGACTCTTTAATTCTGGGATATTGTTAAATCTGAGGACCAGACCTGACTCTTTTGTTAAATCTGAGGACCAGACCTGACTCTTTAATTCTGGGAAAATTCTGACTATCTAATTCTGGATATTGTTAAATCTGAGGACCAGACCTGACTGAGGACCAGACCTGACTATTAATTCTGGGATATTGTTAAATCTGAGGACCAGACCTGACTCTTTAATTCTGGGATATTGTTAAATCTGAGGACCAGACCTGACTATATAATTCTGGGATATTGTTAAATCTGAGGACCAGACCTGACTCTTTAATTCTGGGATATTGTTAAATCTGAGGACCAGACCTGACTCTTTAATTCTGGGATATTGTTAAATCTGAGGACCAGACCTGACTATCTAATTCTGTGATATTGTTAAATCTGAGGACCAGACCTGACTCTTTAATTCTGGGATATTGTTAAATCTGAGGACCAGACCTGACTCTTTAATTCTGGGATATTGTTAAATCTGAGGACCAGACCTGACTCTTTAATTCTGGGATATTGTTAAATCTGAGGACCAGACCTGACTCTTTAATTCTGGGATATTGTTAAATCTGAGGACCAGACCTGACTCTTTAATTCTGGGATATTGTTAAATCTGAGGACCAGACCTGACTATCTAATTCTGGGATATTGTTAAATCTGAGGACCAGACCTGACTCTTTAATTCTGGGATATTGTTAAATCTGAGGACCAGACCTGACTCTTTAATTCTGGGATATTGTTAAATCTGAGGACCAGACCTGACTCTTTAATTCTGGGACCTGACTCTTTAATTCTGGGATATTGTTAAATCTGAGGACCAGACCTGACTCTTTAATTCTGGGATATTGTTAAATCTGAGGACCAGACCTGACTCTTTAATTCTGGGATATTGTTAAATCTGAGGACCAGACCTGACTCTTTAATTCTGGGATATTGTTAAATCTGAGGACCAGACCTGACTATCTAATTCTGGGATATTGTTAAATCTGAGGACCAGACCTGACTCTTTAATTCTGGGATATTGTTAAATCTGAGGACCAGACCTGGCTCTTTAATTCTGGGATATTGTTAATTCTGACTATCAGACCTGACTCTTTATTTCTGGGAAATTGTTAAATAGACTGATGTTTACCTCAGTTACCTGAGCCCACTCAAACTATACACAAATACAATGTACTACCAAAACAGATACATACTTGTTCCATGTATGCACCCCGAACCAGCTTGGCTCCAAAGTGGAAGTCCTCTCTACGGGCCAGGTCCATGTCCAAACAGGCATTATTGTAAGCACTCTATGGATACCAACAGTCAGTGTATATCAAAGTAAACAGTGATTATCCTGCCTTAGTTAATATCAGACATAATCAGTGATTGTTCACAACCTATGTAAACAGCCATTGGTTAAACTCATAAAAAAATTTTACTTTACAGAATATTCAGTCTGAAGACAAAGCACTGTATGCCAACGGGTCATAGAGCTTCAGAGATGGACTACTCTGAATCACGTTACCTTTACTCTACTACTGGTGTGTAACCTTTCCATGTGATTTATGTTTCATTCTAAGTACCTTCAGATAGCACTGGTAGGTGTTGAAGATAACTGCCTTTTCCCTGTTAAACCTTCGCATCATTTCCATACACAGGCGACTTATGGCAGGTTGGAAATAAGTTTGTTCAGCATCTACCATCACTCTCACACCCTTCTCTGTGGCATACTGAAAAACAACAGGAAAGAAATGGTCAGGTCATCTCTGTGTCACTCTCACACCCTTCTCTGTGGCATACTGAAAAACAACAGGAAAGAAATGGTCAGGTCATCTCTGTATCACTCTCACACCCTTCTCTGTGGTGTACTGAAAACAACATGTTGTTTTGCAACAGCTTTGATATACTTGGACATATTGTATCTTGTCCATGGTCGATAGATGTGTTGGAGTAGGTAACAGTGTTAATATGCCTGAATGTATTACCTTAGCAATCATGTTGAGGCGTCCTAACATGTTTTTCATCTGCTCTTCTTCTTCTGTTGACAGAGAGGTGACTAAAGGCTTCAGTTTCCCTGTCTGTTCAAATGAAAAACTTGATCAGACATGTAGCTCCTACTGTGATTACACCTGCTTTTATATCAGACATGTAGCTCCTACTGTGATTACACCTGCTTTTATATCAGACATGTAGCTCCTACTGTGATTACACCTGCTTTTATATCAGCATGTAGCTCCTACTGTGATTACACCTCCTTTTATATCAGACATGTAGCTCCTACTGTGATTACACCTGCTTTTATATCAGACATGTAGCTCCTACTGTGATTACACCTGCTTTTATATCAGACATGTAGCTCCTACTGTGATTACACCTGCTTTTATATCAGCATGTAGCTCCTACTGTGATTACACCTGCTTTTATATCAGACATGTAGCTCCTACTGTGATTACACCTGCTTTTATATCAGACATGTAGCTCCTACTGTGATTACACCTGCTTTTATATCAGACATGTAGCTCCTACTGTGATTACACCTGCTTTTATATCAGACATGTAGCTCCTACTGTGATTACACCTGCTTTTATATCAGACATGTAGCTCCTACTGTGATTACACCTGCTTTTATATCAGCATGTAGCTCCTACTGTGATTACACCTGCTTTTATATCAGACATGTACCTCCTACTGTGATTACACCTGCTTTTATATCAGACATGTACCTCCTACTGTGATTACACCTGCTTCTATATCAGACATGTACCTCCTACTGTGATTACACCTGCTTTTATAGCAGCAAACGACTAATGCTTCATAATATATCCGTTAAATTCCGAGCTGCATAATTTGTCGTTAATGGAACTTTCTCAGTCAAATGGGATATATAATACACTCCAATAGCTGTCATAATTCTTACATTATCTATCTTGCCTTGAAAGCATAAGATATCATGGATAAATACTGCTCGAGAATTTTTTTATCAATAAACCCAGGTAAGAAGTAAGCTGAGTTATGATAATCTCAATTAAGATATATATTACCTCCTCATCGGGTACCACAAAAACCTTGGACAAACTCATGTTGACCTCTAACAGGTTGTCCCAGTCCAGAAGGTCCACCTCACTATAAAATAGATCACATGCTGAGTCATAATCTTCTCTCCAACACACCTTAAAAAATAACTTGCATCTCTTTCTAACTGCAAAATATCACATGATCACCTCTCTAACTCACCCCAATATGTCATATTATCACCTCTCTAACTCATCTCAATATGTCATATTATCACCTCTCTAACTCACCCCAATATGTCATATTATCACCTTTCCTTTTTTTCTAAAATGTCACATTATCACCTCTCTAACTCACCCCAATATGTCATATCATCACCTCTCTAGCTCATCTCAATATGTCATATTATCACCTCTCTACCTCACCCCAATATGTCATATTATCACCTCTCTACCTCACCCCAATATGTCATATTATCACCTCTCTAACTCACCCCAATATGTCATATTATCACCTCTCTAACTCACCCCAATATGTCATATTATCACCTCTCTAACTCACCCCAATATGTCACATTATCACCTCTCTACCTCACCCCAATATTTCATATTATCACCTCTCTACCTCACCCCAATATGTCATATTATCACTTCTCTAACTCACTCCAATATGTCATATTATCATCTCTCTAACTCACCCCAATATGTCATATTATCACCTCTCTAACTCACCCCAATATGTCACATTATCACCTCTCTACCTCACCCCAATATGTCATATTATCATCTCTCTAACTCACCCCAATATGTCAAATCATCACCTCTCTACCTCACCCCAATATGTCATATTATCATCTCTCTAACTCACCCCAATATGTCACATTATCACCTCTCTTACTCACCCCAATATGTCACATTATCAACTCACCCCAATATGTCACATTATCACCTCTCTTACTCACCCCAATATGTCACATTATCACCTCTCTAACTCACCCCAATATGTCACATTATCACCTCTCTAACTCACCCCAATATGTCACATTATCACCTCTCTTACTCACCCCAATATGTCACATTATCACCTCTCTTACTCACCTCAATATGTCACATTATCACCTCTCTTACTCACCCCAATATGTCACATTATCACCTCTCTAACTCACCCCAATATGTCACATTATCACCTCTCTTACTCACCTCAATATGTCACATTATCACCTCTCTAACTCACCCCAATATGTCACATTATCACCTCTCTTACTCACCCCAATATGTCACATTATCACCTCTCTAACTCACCCCAATATGTCACATTATCACCTCTCTTACTCACCCCAATATGTCATATTATCACCTCTCTAACTCACCCCCCAATATGTCTTATCACCTCTCTTAATATGTCACATTATCACCTCTCTTACTCACCCCAATATGTCACATTATCACCTCTCTTACATTATCACCCCAATATGTCACATTATCACCTCTCTTACTCACCCCAATATGTCTCTCTCTACTCACCCCAATATGTCACATTATCACCTCTCTACCTCTCTTACTCACCCCAATATGTCACATTATCACCTCTCTTACTCACCCCAATATGTCACATTATCACCTCTCTTACTCACCCCAATATGTCACATTATCACCTCTCTTACTCACCCCAATATGTCACATTATCACCTCTCTTACTCACCCCAATATGTCACATTATCACCTCTCTAACTCACCCCAATATGTCACATTATCACCTCTCTAACTCACCCCAATATGTCACATTATCACCTCTCTTACTCACTCCAATATGTCACATTATCACCTCTCTTACTCACCCCAATATGTCACATTATCACCTCTCTTACTCACCCCAATATGTCACATTATCACCTCTCTTACTCACCCCAATATGTCACATTATCACCTCTCTTACTCACCTCAATATGTCACATTATCAATATGTCACATTATCACCTCTCTAACTCACCCCAATATGTCATATTATCACCTCTCTAACTCACCCCAATATGTCACATTATCACCTCTCTTACTCACCTCAATATGTCACATTATCACCTCTCTAACTCACCCCAATATGTCACATTATCACCTCTCTTACTCACCCCAATATGTCACATTATCACCTCTCTTACTCACCTCAATATGTCACATTATCACCTCTCTAACTCACCCCAATATGTCACATTATCACCTCTCTAACTCACCCCAATATGTCACATTATCACCTCTCTTACTCACCTCAATATGTCACATTATCACCTCTCTAACTCACCTCAATATGTCACATTATCACCTCTCTAACTCACCCCAATATGTCACATTATCACCTCTCTAACTATCCTCTATCTGTGATATTATGACCTCTCTAACTCACTCCAATATGTCACATTATCACCTCTCTTACTCACCTCAATATGTCACATTATCACCTCTCTAACTCACCCCAATATGTCACATTATCACCTCTCTAACTCACCCCAATATGTCACATTATCACCTCTCTTACTCTCTCTTATCACCTCTCTTACTCACCCCAATATGTCACATTTTCACCTCTCTCTCTGACTTGACTATTTCAGAGTTCCACGTCTCTCTCTCACCTCAATATGTCACATTATCACCTCTCTAACTCACCTCAATATGTCACATTATCACCTCTCTAACTCACCCCAATATGTCATATTATCACCTCTCTTACTCACCTCAATATGTCACATTATCATCTCTCTAACTCACCCCAATATGTCACATTATCACCTCTCTTACTCACCTCAATATGTCACATTATCACCTCTCTTACTCACCTCAATATGTCACATTATCATCTCTCTAACTCACCCCAATATGTCACATTATCACCTCTCTAACTCACCCCAATATGTCACATTATCACCTCTCTTACTCACCTCAATATGTCACATTATCACCTCTCTACCTCACCCCAATATGTCACATTATCACCTCTCTTACCTCAATATGTCACATTATCACCTCTCTAACTCACCTCAATATGTCACATTATCACCTCTCTTACTCACCTCAATATGTCACATTATCACCTCTCTTACTCACCTCAATATGTCACATTATCACCTCTCTTACTCACCCCAATATGTCACATTATCACCTCTCTTACTCACCTCAATATGTCATATTATCACCTCTCTAACTCACCCCAATATGTCACATTATCACCTCTCTAACTCACCCCAATATGTCACATTATCACCTCTCTTACTCACCTCAATATGTCACATCATCACCTCTCTACCTCACCACAATATGTCATATTATCACCTCTCTTACTCACCTCAATATGTCACATTATCACCTCTCTAACTCACCTCAATATGTCACATTATCACCTCTCTAACTCACCCCAATATGTCACATTATCACCTCTCTAACTCACCTCAATATGTCACATTATCACCTCTCTTACTCACCTCAATATGTCATATTATCACCTCTCTAACTCACCCCAATATGTCATATTATCACCTCTCTAACTCACCCCAATATGTCACATTATCACCTCTCTTACTCACCCCAATATGTCATATTATCACCTCTCTTACTCACCCCAATATGTCACATTATCACCTCTCTTACTCACCCCAATATGTCACATTATCACCTCTCTAACTCACCTCAATATGTCATATTATCACCTCTCTTACTCACCCCAATATGTCACATTATCACCTCTCTAACTCACCCCAATATGTCATATTATCACCTCTCTTACTCACCCCAATATGTCACATTATCACCTCTCTTACTCACCTCAATATGTCATATTATCACTTCTCTAACTCACCACAATATGTCATATTATCACCTCTCTAACTCACCCCAATATGTCACATTATCACCTCTCTTACTCACCTCAATATATAATACAATATAATCATCTATAATATGACTCTTGCTTGCCAAGTACTAACTCAGAAGTCACAAGATAGACTTAATAATCTCGCCTTAAAGGTCACATAAAGGTCAAATGAACGAGCAATCTCTGATGACATATGATCCATTTTTTTAACATACCTAGCTCAAACATGATACAAACAAAAGAGTGTCAAAAGCACAACAAACACTTTGATTTACATGACACAACAAACAGGTGCATTACCCATCTTGTGAGATGTCTAGAACTGAGAACCAGCGCTTCCTGTCATCCCGTGTGATTTGTACTCCCATGGCCTCCAACTGCTTTTTAAAGTCTTCCTCACGAAACTTTCTTAGAAGGATGTCACCTTTGTTACCCGCAAACTTCTCAAAGAAGGTTCTTGTTGACACCAGCACATCAGACATCTGCAGCTTTAACATTCAAATTATCAATATATATTAAATTGCCGAGCGGAGTTTGGTATATTTTCTGAATATAAATCAGTAATCACTGTAACAACATAACAAAGAGATCCCAGAGGGATCCTGGCGCCCACCATTTGAGGATCTGTTTTCAGTTCTTGAAGATTTGTTTATTTTTTTTTTGTTTGTTACAGGTGTTGTAAATGTTCATGAACTGGTCTTCATTGAATGTACTCAATGATGGCACAAGATATTTTTATTAAGCACTTATTAGCAAATATCATTTGAAAAAGATCCCAAAGTATTATTAGATAGCAGTCAGTTACAGATGGATAATGGACAATATGCTTGTGCTGTATTACTGTCGACATCCAAGATGGCTGCCTGTGGGCCACCTTGATTTCAAATCAGTCCAAAAAAGGTACAATGCACAACTAGGGACCAAGGGAAAACTGCATATGAAATTTGAGAAAGATCCATCCAGTACTTTCCAAGAAATAGCAGTAACAACCTTTTACTTCCAAAATCCAAGATGGTGCCTGTACCATCTTACTGTGTACCACTCACAGTGGTTACAGTCTGTGTAAACAGGTTACCATTGCACACTGTGTACCACCACACAGACAGTCACCAGTGGTTACCTGCACTGTGAAATTCACACGGAGTCACCAGTGGTTACCATTGTTACTGTATACCACTCACTCAGACAGTCACCAGTGGTTACCATTGTTTCTGTATACCACTCACACAGACAGTCACCAGTGGTTACCATTGTTACTGTGTACCACTCACACGGACAATCACCAGTGGTTACCATTGTTACTGTGTACCACTCACACAGACTACCATGTTATGAAATTCTAACTCACTCACACAGACAGTCACCAGTGGTTACCATTATTACTGTGTACCACTCACCCAGTCAGTCACCAGTGGTTACCATTGTTACTGTGTACCACTCACACAGGTGGTTACCATTGTTACTGTGTACCACTCACACAGACAGTGTGGTTACCATTGTTATACTGTACTACCACTGGTTACCATTGTTACACCAACACGTCACCAGTGGTTACCATTGTTACTGTATACCACTCACACAGACAGTCACCAGTGGTTACCATTGTTACTGTGTACCACTCACACGGACAGTCACCAGTGGTTACCATTGTTACTGTGTACCACTCACACGGACAGTCACCAGTGGTTACCATTGTTACTGTTTACCACTCACACAGTCACCAGTGGTTACTATTGTTACTGTGTACCACTCACACGGACAGTCACCAGTGGTTACCATTGTTACTCACCAGTGGTTACCATTGTTACTGTTTACCACTCACACAGACAGACACCAGTGGTTACCATTGTTACTGTGTACCACTCACACAGTCACCAGTGGTTACCATTGTTACTGTGTACCACTCACACAGTCACCAGTGGTTACCATTGTTACTGTGTACCACTCACACGGACAGACACCAGTGGTTACCATTGTTACTGTGTACCACTCACACAGTCACCAGTGGTTACCATTGTTACTGTATACCACTCACACAGACAGTCACCAGTGGTTACCATTGTTACTGTATACCACTCACACAGACAGTCACCAGTGGTTACCATTGTTACTGTGTACCATTCACACGGACAGTCACCAGTGGTTACCATTGTTACTGTATACCACTCACACAGACAGTCACCAGTGGTTACCATTGTTACTGTGTACCACTCACACAGTCACCAGTGGTTACCATTGTTACTGTGTACCACTCACACGGACAGTCACCAGTGGTTACCATTGTTACTGTGTACCACTCACACGGACAGTCACCAGTGGTTACCATTGTTACTGTGTACCACTCACACAGTCACCAGTGGTTACCATTGTTACTGTGTACCACTCACACGGACAGTCACCAGTGGTTACCATTGTTACTGTGTACCACTCACACGGACAGTCACCAGTGGTTACCATTGTTACTGTATACCACTCACACAGACAGTCACCAGTGGTTACCATTGTTACTGTATACCACTCACACAGACAGTCACCAGTGGTTACCATTGTTACTGTGTACCACTCACACGGACAGTCACCAGTGGTTACCATTGTTACTGTTTACCACTCACACAGACAGTCACCAGTGGTTACCATTGTTACTGTGTACCACTCACACACTCACACAGACAGTCACCAGTGGTTACCATTGTTACTGTGTACCACTCACACGGACAGTCACCAGTGGTTACCATTGTTACTGTGTACCACTCACACGGACAGTCACCAGTGGTTACCATTGTTACTGTGTACCACTCACACGGACAGTCACCAGTGGTTACCATTGTTACTGTGTACCACTCACACAGAGTCACCAGTGGTTACCATTGTTACTGTATACCACTCACACAGTCACCAGTGGTTACCATTGTTACTGTATACCACTCACACAGACAGTCACCAGTGGTTACCATTATTACTGTGTACCACTCACACAGACAGTCACCAGTGGTTACCATTGTTACTGTGTACCACTCACACGGACAGTCACCAGTGGTTACCATTGTTACTGTATACCACTCACACAGACAGTCACCAGTGGTTACCATTGTTACTGTGTACCACTCACAGTCACCATTGTTACTGTGTACAGTCACCAGTGGTTACCATTATTACTGTGTACCACTCACACAGACAGTCACCAGTGGTTACCATTGTTACTGTGTACCACTCACACGGACAGTCACCAGTGGTTACCATTGTTACTGTGTACCACTCACACGGACAGTCACCAGTGGTTACCATTGTTACTGTGTACCACTCACACAGTCACCAGTGGTTACCATTGTTACTGTGTACCACTCACACGGACAGTCACCAGTGGTTACCATTGTTACTGTTTACCACTCACAGAGACAGACACCAGTGGTTACCATTGTTACTGTGTACCACTCACACAGTCACCAGTGGTTACCATTGTTACTGTGTACCACTCACACAGACAGACACCAGTGGTTACCATTGTTACTGTGTACCACTCACACAGACAGTCACCAGTGGTAACCATTGTTACTGTGTACCACTCACACAGTCACCAGTGGTTACCATTGTTACTGTTTACCACTCACACAGACAGTCACCAGTGGTTACAGTTGGTTACCATTGTTACTGTGTACCACTCACACGGACAGACACCAGTGGTTACCATTGTTACTGTGTACCACTCACACAGTCACCAGTGGTTACCATTGTTACTGTGTACCACTCACACAGTCCATTGTTACTGTGTACACTCACACAGACAGTCACCAGTGGTTACCATTGTTACTGTGTACCACTCACACGGACAGTCACCAGTGGTTACCATTGTTACTGTATACCACTCACACAGACAGTCACCAGTGGTTACCATTGTTACTGTATACCACTCACACAGACAGTCACCAGTGGTTACCATTATTACTGTGTACCACTCACACAGACAGTCACCAGTGGTTACCATTGTTACTGTGTACCACTCACACAGACAGTCACCAGTGGTTACCATTGTTACTGTGTACCACTCACACGGACAGTCACCAGTGGTTACTATTGCTACTGTGTACCACTCACACAGACAGACACCAGTGGTTACCATTGTTACTGTGTACCACTCACACAGTCACCAGTGGTTACCATTGTTACTGTGTACCACTCACACGGACAGTCACCAGTGGTTACCATTGTTACTGTGTACCACTCACACAGTCACCAGTGGTTACCATTGGTACTGTGTACCACCCACACAGTCACCAGTGGTTACCATTGTTACTGTTTACCACTCACACAGACAGACACCAGTGGTTACCATTGTTACTGTGTACCACTCACACAGTCACCACACCATTGTTACTGTGTACCACTCACACACCAGGACAGTCACCAGTGGTTACCATTGTTACTGTGTACCACTCACACAGACAGTCACCAGTGGTTACCATTGTTACTGTGTACCACTCACACACAGTGGTTACCATTGTCACCAGTGGTTACCATTGTTACTGTGTACCAGTGGTTACCATTGTTACTGTGTACCACTCACACAGTCACCAGTGGTTACCATTGTTACCATTGTTACTGTGTACCACTCACACAGTCACCAGTGGTTACCATTGTTACTGTGTACACACAGACAGTTTACCATTGTTACTGTGTACCACTCACACAGACAGTCACCAGTGGTTACCATTGTTACTGTGTACCACTCACAGACAGTCACCAGTGGTTACCATTGTTACTGTGGTTACCACTCACACAGACAGTCACCAGTGGTTACCATTGTTACTGTGTACCACTCACACAGTCACCAGTGGTTACCATTGTTACTGTGTACCACTCACACAGTCACCAGTGGTTACCATTGTTACTGTGTACCACTCACACAGTCACCAGTGGTTACCATTGTTACTGTGTACCACTCACACAGTCACCAGTGGTTACCATTGTTACTGTTTACCACTCACACAGACAGTCACCAGTGGTTACCATTGTAATTACATCATTGCCAATGTTACTATCATGATTATGGTTGCTCGGCATAACTACAAAACTCACTTCTGGTTTCAATTATATGGTGACTTTACATTAGTACTGCTGTTACTAGTGGTTACCATGGTTACCATGCCTGGTAAACAACATTACTCCACCAGCCACTAGTTATCACCCATTATATTATATATATGAAGAAGCCTACCAGAAACTCTGGTCTTCCAAGAGCTGTCATCTTGATAGCAACAAACCCAGTGTTCACCTCAGTAGCTCCTATTGTATACAAAAACACTATTACATTACCATATGTTGAGTGATTCTTCTAAAAGTGTGTGGTTGAAAAACAACTTGCCTAAATATCAATTTCAAGAAAAAAAACAACTGTTACATTAATCACTTGCTGTAGGTTTATTTAATGTTTCAAGAAATGCATAATATCAATAATATAAAAAACTGGCCTACATTATATCTACTCCTACAACATGCGTCTTTCTCACTGCCTACCTGCCACAGCATCTATACATCTGAGGAAAGTCTCCATGTTTGTGTCACAGTTGGCTTCATCCTCATAGAAATATGTCCTTGCTGATATAACCTTGCTACGGCGATCTCCAAACTTTTTGTGGGCCAAAAACTTTTGTTTGTCGGGATCTAATGGAAAGAAATAAAAACCGTAAGCTTAGGATTTATATATTGTGTATCAAAGTCATTCAACTTACAAACCAAGCAACAAAACTTTTGGATATCATCTGATTCTATCATCATATAGATAGGAACCTGACTCAACTCTACAGCAGGAAGTATGATTGACTTCATTCAATCTTTGTGCCTGACAAATTGATGTATGTTTACATACCTCTAATCGTAGCATGACTGTGTTTATATGTTTTCAATTTCCTGCAATTTATCAGTACGTTCTATATCATATGTGACTGTAGGCATGGATGCTGACGATTTTCTTGTGTAAGTACTTGTATGGTTTCAGTATAAATTACTATGAAACAAACATTTTTGTGCAGTGATAAATCAATCAGAAGAACTATGGCTAAATTCAAGGTTTTATATATACTGTATATGTGCATAGTGAATATATATTAGCTTATGCGTGTGATATTATATATGATGTATATAATATTGTGGACTGTAGTCAAACAAGTCCAAGCATGATAAACTGTATAAGTCAATTTCACAGGTAAGGGAAGTAACTCAGGTTCAATACTTTGAACAAACCTAACCTAATAGAATTGTTCTCATGCTAAAACTTTACGTTTTGTGATCAAAATTTAAAAATATTGTACTTACCCATTTTATTCTCATGCTCAAGTTGTACTCGTGAAAAGTTTTGTGCTCAATATTTTGAGCACATTCTCAAGTTTGATTTTAGTATGGTCTTACCTATGCTCAAGATTTTTTTCTGTCATGTGACAGGACATTGGATTCAGAGAGATGTAAGAAAGAGTCATTTAACACGGAAATACTATTGTTTGAAGATGTAGATATTCAAATTGTAGCTATAAAAACTGGTTACAATCTCAATTTTCATTGCACAATCAAAAGTCATTGTCTAGTTTCAAATTCAACTCATGAATGAATATCTTGCTGACTTGAAAACTTCATAGACCTATTTGATCAAATTTATATGAAATCAAAATAAAAGTAAGCTAGAATAATACATATATAAATATGTTCATTAGTATATTATGAAAAAAATCTGGAACTTATGATATGTATATGTGTCATTACATGAAGATAGCACCAGAGCCACATAATGCAAACACCAGTCCCACACAGAACTTCAAAGGTTGTGTGTTATTTGTGTCAGTATTAAACACATGTAGACAGCACCAGTTTTACACAAACTACTCATGTGTTATATATGTGTTACTATTATACATATGTCAACACCATCAGTCCAACACAGACTTTACACAAACTACACATGTGTTATATATGTGTTACTATTATACATATGTCAACACCAAAAGTCCCACACAGACTTTACACAAACTACACATGTGTTATATATGTGTTACTATTATACATATGTCAACACCACCAGTCCCACACAGACTTTACACAAACTACACATGTGTTATATATGTGTTACTATTATACATATGTCAACACCACCAGTCCAACACAGACTTTACACAAACTACACATGTGTTATATATGTGTTACTATTATACATATGTCAACACCACCAGTCCAACACAGACTTTACACAAACTACACATGTGTTATATATGTGTTACTATTATACATATGTCAACACCACCAGTCCCACACAGACTTTACACAAACTACACATGTGTTATATATGTGTTACTATTATACATATGTCAACACCACCAGTCCAACACAGACCTTACACAAACTACACATGTGTTATATATGTGTTACTATTATACATATGTCAACACCACCAGTCCCACACAGACTTTACACAAACTACACATGTGTTATATATGTGTTACTATTATACATATGTCAACACCACCAGTCCCACACAGACTTTACACAAACTACACATGTGTTATATATGTGTTAATATTATACATATGTCAACACCACCAAAGTAAACAGCACCAGTCCCACACAAGGATCTTTACGAACCACATTTGTATTATATATGTGTCAGTATTATGCACCAGCATTAACTGAATATTATGTAATACATGTATGTTGTTCATGGGTTATAATTATACAATTGTGTATATATAACACCACAGTCCCATGCAGCCGTGCACACACTAAATGTATTTACCCATATCACTGTGTTCTGTATCTGTGTTTTCATCCAATTCAGAAATGGTTTTACATCAGTACATGATTCTATAGCAAAACATGGTGACACAAATGATGATGTAAAACAATTTATGTACTGGTGTAGACATTTGACCAAGTCTCTCGTATAACATGAAAATCATCTGTAGTATTTCAATATAAACAAAGTTATGTAACACAGAACTTAATCATACAAAACATACACTAGAACAGATGGTGTTAATGTGATATACAAGTCTACAGTACACCTGTTTATACTGCCATCCTTTATTTAGTGTGATATACAAGTCTACAGTACACCTGTTTATACTGCCATCCTTTATTTAGTGTGATATACAAGTCTACAGTACACCTGTTTATACTGCCATCCTTTATTTAGTGTGATATACAAGATCTTTACTGCACACATTGTTATATTGCTATCTTTAATCTAGTGTTATATATAAGATACCTGCACTTATAACCATTATATAATAATGTTATTGCCATCTTTCGTCTTTATTACAGACCAGAATGAAAACTCTGAACATCCCTGTATCAGATATCAGAACTAATGGAACTAAAGCAGTCAAAATCTGTTTTTTTGGCTGCCATCTTAGATTGAAGACCTCCTCCAAATTCGCAACACTAATTTCAATTAGACAAGCTGCAGGGTGAGATGACCTAAAAATACTGACAAGGGCACGAGGGTATTTGTATCCTTATCATACGTCTTGAGGTGAAATCATTTTCTGATATATTTCCTTTTATATCTCTTTCATATCACTTGTCTTAGTAAAATGAAATATAAAGCAAAAACTGGCAATAACAGATGATACTTTTTGATTTGCATTGTAACTTTTCAATCAAAAATAGAAATAGCCTTTAGAAATTTCTTTAGTCATTTTGCTGAAATTTGGTTCAAAATATCATTTATTTAAGAATTTGATTACCTGGGATGGTCTTGTCTGAAAAAATCATCGTTTGTATAGAAAATCCTACACATTTCTTAAAACAGTGTGGCAATTAGACATGTATTTCAAATAAGAATTCAGCCTCTAAAAGAATATAAGCATTATATCATACAGTACCTAGTGATGTTATGTCATCCGGTTGATGATCAGATACACAGCTCCTGCGGATAAGGAGATAAAAACGTTTTAGTTCATGTTACACATTTTACCACACGAGTAAATCTAAAAGATCTGTGAACTTTGGATGTGTGATGATTTTACAATGGTATGAACACATACACAAGTACAGGTAACTGATTTAGCTTCTGTTATCAAAATCATTAATAGCCAACAGAAACCTGTAAAGTATTTTAGGAATAAACTAATAAAGGAAACAAAATTGAGATACATTTTGTAATAAGTTTGCTATATTTAAAGAGACTGATAGACTGGCCTTACTTCATCTCTGCCTCCTCTGCCTGCTCTGTGGAGAGATCTTCCTCAACACTGTAGTCCAAAATTGACTTCACTCCAAACTGTTTGTTCCTACTGACCAGTGGTCTTATTGCAACCTGGTCCTCTCCAGCCACAAAGTGACCATAAAATGTTGCCTTCATCATCATACGGAACAAGGTCCCCCCAAGAATACGTCGACTCCATTTCAGCAACTACAGTAAAAAATCTGTTAGTAATGTCATCCCTAGCATAAAACATACAGAGATTACCTGTCAGGGTTACCTGTACAGAGATAACCTGTCAAGGTTACCTGTACAGAGACTACCTGTTAGAGTTACCTGTACAGAGATTACCTGTAAGGGTTACCTGTAGCAAGATTACCTGTTAGGGTTACCTTTACAGAGACTACTGAACTATTAAAAGTTAATATGTAAGTTAAATTAAACTATCCAAAACTGTATTCTACTAGACATAAGTCAGACGTGTTGTCCAGAAGCCAGAACATACTTTCTGTTAATAATCTATCACACATGTACAGGATACATTCGCTCCCGGGTTAATTACATAAGCTTACCAATACCGTCTAGCAGGACAGGTCAGCAAAACCTTAGCTTGTCGTAAACCACCTAATCTACCACTATGTGTGTGCATTAGACCATGTAAATAACTCATGTGTTATCCACTTCTTGTTAGCAAATATGTAATATTAGATTATCAATGTCTACGACTTTTAGTATAAATACGACTAGGTTTCTAGCCAGTCGTCGAATTGGTTCCTGAAGGCATGCGAGTGTACCACCTCTCCATGTCTACACACAATAAATTTACATCAACCTGAACAGCGTTTGGATTTCTTCATCTCCACTCAACACTACACCACTCTTCATTCTCAACAAAGAAGTTCACCCACTACACTTTATCGGACACCACATCGCTTTATTGGCACCGTGACACCACTTCACTTTATTGGTCCCGTGACTTCACTTTATTGTAGTGGGTGAACTTCTTTGTTGAGAATGAAGAGTTACCTGTACAGAGATTACCTGTTAGGGGTAGTTGTATATAGACTACCTGTTAGGGTAACCTGTACAGAGATTACCTGTTAGGGGTAGTTGTATATAGACTACCTGTTAGGGTAACCTGTACAAATATTACCTGTTACGGTTACCAGTACTGATATTACCTGTTATGTTTACCTGTACAGATATTACCTGTTACGGTTACCAGTACTGATATTACCTGTTATGGTTACCTGTACTGAGATTATCTGTTACGGTTACCAGTACTGAGATTATCTGTTATGGTTAGCAGTACTGAGATTATCTGTTACGGTTACCAGTACTGATATTACCTGTTATGGCTACCTGTACTGAGATTATCTGTTATGGTTACCTGTACTGAGATTATCTGTTATGGTTACCAGTACTGATATTACCTGTTATGGTTACCTGTACTGAGATTATCTGTTATGGTTACCTGTACTGAGATTATCTGTTATGGTTACCTGTACTGATATTACCTGTTATGGTTACCTGTACTGATATTACCTGTTACGGTTACCTGTACTGATATTACCTGTTATGGTTACCTGTACTGATATCACCTGTTACGGTTACCTGTACTGATATTACCTGTTATGGTTACCTGTACTGATATTACCTGTTATGGTTACCTGTACTGATATTACCTGTTATGGTTACCTGTACTGATATTACTTGTTATGGTTACCTGTACTGATATTACCTGTTATGGTTACCTGTACTGAGATTATCTGTTATGGTTACCTGTACTGATATTACCTGTTATGGTTACCTGTACTGATATTACCTGTTACGGTTACCTGTACTGATATCACCTGTTATGGTTACCTGTACTGATATTACCTGTTATGGTTACCTGTACTGATATTACCTGTTATGGTTACCTGTACTGATATTACCTGTTATGGTTACCTGTACTGATATTACTTGTTATGGTTACCTGTACTGATATTACCTGTTATGGTTACCTGTACTGATATTACCTGTTATGGTTACCTGTACTGATATTACTTGTTATGGTTACCTGTACTGATATTACCTGTTATGGTTACCTGTACTGAGATTATCTGTTAAAGAGACTTAATGGTTAGATTTCCCCATTTTTTCTTTTTATTTGTTTGATTTCAGGCAAGTGTTTCTATATCTTAGATTAGATTTTTCACATAATTATAGCATTTCTTGAGAAAATATGATAAAGATTATCAGCTTCAAACTAACACTGGTTAACACTTGCGGTTTTCATCAGAGATTGCTGCGATCATCATGTGACCTTTCTGAGGTTCGTTTAACTCACCGCTTTGTTTAGATGTCTTCCCACAACACGCATGAGCAAATACATTGTGGTCACTCTCCGAACGATAATGGTATGATCATTTAGTGTTGGAATGCTATTTATTGTATTCTTTTAAAAAATGTTTTCAATGAAATGGTTACGCAATTTTTTTAATAATATAATTAACTGACAATGCACAACTTTTATCAGATATCTAAATATTATCAGTTATCAGTTATGAAAATCTTACTATTTAGTCCCTTTAAAGTTACTTGTACAAAGATGACCTGTACAGAGTGTTAGAGTTACAGAATTTATGACGCTCTATGATGGGCATTTAGTTAATACTGTATAAGGATATATTTCTTTCTTATTCCAAAACCAGAATCCCAATACAAGTGACAGTACATATACATGGACATGTGTAAATTTACTGTTACATTCGAGGTGTTTTAGAGCTGGTTACAGCATCTCTTAAGTTAATCTCACCTTATTATTATGAGTTACAAGTGCCGGTATGGAGCACATGTTGAAAACGAAGAGAGCCCGGACCAGCTCCGCTGTAGTCTTACTGCGATACGCTTCCTTCCCATTACTGAAGGACAAATCAAGCACGGGATACCCGTCGCTGTCCAATCTTGATTTCTCGCTAAGATCCTGGGATGATATCGACGCCGACGAGGCAGTTGTTGATTTGGAAGCAAAGTAATGTGATTGTAGTACTGAAACCGAGCACAATTGTTTGTGAAGCGGTAAAACATTTGTCTTACACAACGCTCTTAACACCGCCATATCCGCATAAGTTATGCAGGCAGTTGTTGACGCTATGACTAGAGAATGTTAGGGCGATTTCCATTGGTCGACACCGACACACCTCTCGCTGTGGAAACACGTGCCTTGAGGCAAATAAATTACAGCGGTTCGACTTACAGCTGCGACTGTAGCGAAATATATTATATATATTATTTATCATCATGAATTTTTTTAAAATGAAATTTTGATGCTGTATATTATGAAGTAATATGCTTCCCTATCCAGGTCTATTAATATCTTAAATTATCCTCAAACATAATCCTCGTTAGCAAAGCTCAGTACCCTACAGGGAAGGACAAATACCAGCCTCAGGTGCAATAACCTGCAATGAATATATTGCACACTAATTAAGAATCAGAAAACAAACATAGGTTTCAAGATTTTATTAGTAAATCGGGAAAAGATTTAATACCCAGACAACATTCTGACAAAGAACAGAAATAGGCATGACAAGAGATCGCATGAGATAAAAAAAAGAGAAGTACAGCTCAGACAGTTTGCATTATAACAATACTTATATCATCATCATTATCACAGGGCATATATATATATAAATAAAGCATCAACACACGTGATTGTAACCTTTAAATATATATATGTATACATGAAGCAGTTAAACATGTACTTCGTTTCAGCAGAGTTAACAATTTCTGCAGTAGTAGAATAATTCGTCTACGATGCACTCAAAACATAATGTACATTTTCCCTAACTAAATAGTATCATTTGGCTATTTTCAGTAGAAAACTTGATATGGAAGCTTAAATAAAGTGTTATTAAGGGATTTTGTTTTGGACTGGTAACTTGATGAACGAATTTCAAAAGCATTTATTTCACCTAGATTTTAAACTCACCTCTTCGAAATGATTCTGAAAACTATTTTCTTCAGTTTTAAGAAGACAATGTATAATATGAAATTAAAGACACTCTTTTGTCACAACACCGAAGTAGTGCAACGCATGCATGATATATGTTATCAAATTGAATTGTATAACTACAGCGACAGGATGATATATGGAAAGTTTAAAAACATGAACTTGCGTTGTACTTTGATGTATATTGGTACGTATTTCGAATGATCAATATTATTCATACGGCTGACCTAAGCAACACTTTTTTCTAAAATAAAAAAAAAAAAAAAAAAAAATCCAACATTTTGAAACACTACGAAGCACGAAGCTTAATACTGCAAACTTGTATCAAAATAATTATATTATGTTTACTATAATATAAATCTCTTATATAGATATAGTTAATGACGATATGCAAGTGATAATTTAAACAATTTTCTTTATATATATATATATATATCATATTAAGATATAATTTAGTTTGAATCACTGAAATGTTTGTCATTAATTTAATTAGAGTTATTTCTATTAGATAATACCTACTGTTGAATCAACCATTTTCTTTGGGATTTTATTTTCGTTGAACTCATTGGTTCTTTTATTCTCCTAAGATTCAATTTACATATAAAACTTTAAAAAATGTACATGTCAGATGTATGACCAGAGAGCTAGCTCTATACGATTACTTGGTTTATATTGTATTAAGGCATGTGTAACAAGTACACCAGGCAGCTTGTATACAAGGGATGATATAACTACACCTACTAACATATTTACATGGATACATAATCCTTCTCACCAAATACAAAATCTGCTGACAATAGATTTGAAACCATTTCGATGATCGCTCTTGTATTAATTATATTGGAGGAATTTAGCATTGGACACATAGTTAACAGGCCTTCGTACTTTTTGATGAATGAAATAGGACATGAATATGAAGAAACATACATAAATGGATTGGTAATTAAACAATGATGGTACCATTAATTTGATGGGTGCAAAATGTGGGTACTACTAATGTTCCACTTGATAATATTTCGACATTTTGTCGATATGTTAACAATACGTAACTATACCATAGCAAATCAACATTTAGCTTTTAAAAGGCGACATTTTGAGGAACTGCATCCTATACGTGATCTAGCATGTTAGATTTGATAAATCTCTACCAGAGTTATCGTTCCTTAACTGTCTTAATACATACATTGGGGTGGTTGTGATTACTCTGTTTGATTAGATACAGTCAATGCTTTTTTTATATAGGAGAGATCGATCTCTGATTTATTACTTTGTTATTGATTTGTTTTTTTTCTGCACTAGATACATGTGGGTTATGATTTAACCGGATCCGTCTTAGAGGACTGCGAGTGTGAACCATAGAAACATGCTGAAACACATATATTTTGTAATGTTAAACTTTTAACAAAGATATTTTACTAAATTAAGTAACTCATATTGACGATTTTTGAAAACAGGTAAATAATAATTATAATAATCGTCTTTATCTATTCTTGATTACATATTGAGCGTAGAGATCATCTTCTATATGGTCACGACATATTAAAATGTACAATATTTACAACCTTAAGAAACATATGTATAAAAAACAGGATATACAGGTGGGGTCCTTGGTATCTAAAAGATCTCCTAATAATGTTTGACTAATGACATGGTAAAGGAAACACATTGGTAGATGAGGATCTAGTTGTCCTGGTCTGTACATCAAATGTATACATAAAATCATTCAAGTTTTGTGTGAGCTAAATTGTTAAGAACCTTGTACATAAAACGTGCTTGGTTATATAAAAATCTTTTACTAAAAGATAACCAGTTCAACCTGTTGAACATATCACAGGAAGGTGTTGTAAAATCACAGTTCAAAATGATTCTAGCTGCCCTCTTTTGCAGACGTTCTAATCTTAAAGTGTTCGTTTTGGAGCTGTTTCCCCATACAGTAGAACAATAGTGAATATGTGGGTTGATAAAATAGTTGAAGAAGGTCATGCAAGATGACTGGCTTACAAAAGGTCTCGGTTTTTCATCTGAAAAATTAGACTGGATATCTTTTTACATGTATTTAAAATTTGGTTATTCCAAGAGAGACAATCATCTATCGAAACTCCTAAGAGCTTCTCACTTTTTTACATTTTCAACGTTAACATTATTGATAACAATGGACAGATCTGTTTTTAGTTTACATTTCCTCTGCGAAGTACTGACGAGCATGGCTTTCGTCTTTTCTGTATTAGTGCACATTTTGTTTTCATCACACCATTTTGACACCAAATTAGCATCATTATTGAGACTGTTGTTTACATCCTCAAGTAATTTACCTTGTGATTGTAATGCAGTGTCATCTGCGTCCATGTACATAGAGCTTTGGTTTGTAATCAGGGGCAGATCATTTACATATGAAATGAACAAAAGTAGCCCCATTATTGACCCTTGAGGGACGCCGATTGTGACTGGGAGATTATTACTTAAAGTGTTTTTAAAGTTTACAATTTGAAATCTCCCAATCAAATAACTTGAGAAAAGTTCACTGTTATAGATGAACAACTATACAATCCCAGTTTTGACAATAAAACAGAGTGGTTAACAAGGTCAAAAGCCTTTCAGAAATCCAGAAAAAGAATACCTGTCAAATTACCTTTGTCAATAGCTTCATACCAACTATTTCTAATGTTGGTTAGTGCAGTCTGACGTGAATGTTTTTCTCTAAAGCCAGATTTGTTATCTATGATCAAATTGTGATCAGTCAAAACTTATACAAATGGACCTGAATGTATTTTTCTAAACACTTTGATAACACAGGCAGTTCTGATATTTGTTTGTAATTGCCCAACAGTTATTTTTTTACCCTTTTTGAAAAGAGTTCTCTCTTTTGCATATTTCCAAACTTCTGGAAACGTATCAACACAGAAATTCATAATTTTACATACAATCGGGGCAATGGATTTGGTACAGTGCTTTAAAAATTTAGCACTTATGTTATCCAGCCCAGTGGCCTTGTTGACATCTAATTTCAATAACAATTTCTCGATAAAAGTAGTTTCTACTCGGGGGATTTAGAAATATTTCCCCTCAGTTTGTCTTGGGTATACACTTTAAGTCTCTCTAAAGTATCTGAAGTGTCATTGTTACATGTGTCTTTTACATAGTGTTCCGCTATATTAGTGAAATATTCATTAAAATAGTTACCTATTTCAGTTTCATTGGTAACATCATTTTCACTTTGATCTTTTATAAAACTGGGCAAACTTGAAGATTTCTTTGGAAAAAGTATTATTTCAGTAGAAGTGAAAAAATTAAATTTTGCAAATTCTATCATAGCTGTAACTTTGTTTCTCCATTTGCGATATGCGTTTATTCGACCCTCACGTTTATGCTTGTTCCGTATTTCTATAGCTATGTTAATGCCATCTGTCCACCAATCAGGAATGTTTTGATAGCACACCCTCTTTTCCCTGACTGGGGCATGTTTGTTTACAATGTTCATTAACAAAGTTTGGAAAGTTTGTAGCATGTCATCAACATCGTCAAAAACAGGACAGGGGCGCGTTTTCAACATCTTGGTTGAAAGATTCATGGTTAAAGTTTTTCATGTATCTGTATTTAATGATGTTTTGTATCTTCTCTTCTTTCTTGCTGTTAACTCGGACAGCGCTGACAGGGAAGTGGTCACTCATAGCTATGGTAGGTACTTCCGTGTATGTTTATGTGGAGTAGTAGTCCATATATGATCTATACATGTCCCGTTATCTTCTTGTGTCGGAACAGTTTGTCATGTTGAAACTGTAACTCATCAAATGTTGAAGTTGCCTACTTGCTGTACTTTCTTGTAGTGTGTCATTGTTAAAATCACCCATGACAATGATTTCGTCATGATCACAAAATATTTTGTCTAACAGATTCAAATAATTCCATCTAATTTTTTTTCAGAATTTGGAGGCCAATACACAATTCCAAGAATCAGAGGCTTTGCATGTAGGGGATGTAATTCAATCCACAGGCATTTCAAATTTTCAGTAATTAAATCATCTCTCCTGACAAAACGACAATCACTTTTCAAATAGAAAGCAACACCTCCACCCACTTTCGATTTCCTGTCCAGACGAAGGTCATATCCACTAATTTGAAAATCTTTGTCAAGATGGTTGTCATTGAGCCCTGTTTTTGTAACTCCAATCACATCCACAGTTGAATTTAGGATTACAGATTTAAATTCGTCAAATTTGTTGTTTAGGCTTCTAATATTCCATGCTGACAATTTAAGTCCATCTGGAGCCTGAATGTCAATAGGACTTTGTGGAAATGTAGAATGTTAAGTATTTGTATTAGTGACAATGTTTATACATTGATCACAAAACCACTTCAGTAAATTTTCCTCACCAACTTCTATATAGGTGTCAGGTAGACACTCTTTGTGCCAAGAATTAAAGCAACCCGTACAGTACACTTCAATGCTGTCCAGGTATGCAGGTGAGTTACACTGAGCACAATTCGTCCCTGTTCTATCATCAGGACCCAGCTCTGCTGGCCCAGGATTAAGCTCAATGTCATTTGACAATAGAAAGTAAAAGTAGATGGCCAGTTGAGAGGTGTTCACCATAACATTACTCGGCCTTTCTGTTGTATTTGTTGTGTTATGTAAAAAATGTCCCTGTTAAAACCTCTGTCCCGTATGAAGAAATGTTTAAATCCAAGACAGGCCACGTGTTGTTGGGATAGTTATTTCCATGTTTGCCACTTTTCAGTTCATACAAACTGCTAAAAAGCTGCATAAAATCCCAAGAAGCAGGAGAACAAAACAACTCCCCCTACTCCAGCGGCCATTGTTTTGTTATTGTCAGGTTGGTTTTAATTGATGTCGAGGTTTCTGACATCCCAGCATCAAATCAGCATACAAGTTTAAGATTGATCTACATCAATATGTGTCTACATATACAAGGCGAGTGCACGTGTGGTTATTTATGCAAACCTCCTTGCGATAGTGCAGAACTGGAGATGATTCTATAGTGCTGCCACACTGAAGTTTACAACCAATTGCTCCAAGCAGGACACTCAAATTGGTCATATTATACTGAGGAGGAATTCGGAAAATCGGCATCGCGACCAAGATAAAAGTAATGGTCTTGGACTGATAGTCATCTCATAATACACACCATGCGCGACACTTTTGCATACCAGCTACATGGATATAAAACATTCCATAAAAATCATAGGGTACTTTAGAAGTCAGTGCCAATAGCAAGCAAACATTACTTACAAGAAAAAAAATATTAATCCCTTTACCAACTCGAATTTTTTTCCAGTCAGAAACCGGAAATACATTTTTTTCTGCTTTACAAGATACATTGTAACTCATGATGTAATAATTTTCTAAGTGCTTGTTTTGTACAAAAATCTACTTAATACAAAATATGTCACTTTATCTTTATGTAACTTTATTACAAAATAGTGATGGATATAGATATTTGTACAACCACCAGTTAATGCGAGTTGTCCCCGTTCAAATCCAACGACTGATAACAAATAACCTGTTCATTTTTGGATAGTTATAAGCTACATAAGAAAACTCAAATCTTTATGTACTCGACTGTACTGGCCATATCCTGTATAAAACACACGGGCCTGTATTGGAAATATCAACAATGTTTGTATGGGTTAACGGTCATGTCAGTCGACGCAATCTTTGTGGAATTAAACAGTGTTCTAATTGTAATTATTTTCTAATCACAACGTATTACAAACTTGTAATGCAATATCCGTGACATTATATAGGTAAATACAGGTACATAATAAAGCCGTTTTCTAGAGGAGGTTGATATATTGCCCATGGGGTCATGAAAAGAGAGCATATCTGAGCCAAGCCAGATCATATTTGCCGACATAAAGATAAGTTATATAGACAATAAACTGTCTTCTCCTTTAAAAAATGATAAAACACAAACATACACACAATTAAAAATAAATGGGAAAAAAATCAGGAATTTGCTTGTGACACGTCAATTCCCACAAATTGAGAAAAGCCGTTGTTCGCAATCCACACTTGTCAGTCCTGCTTCTGTCAACATGACGCAGTGACCTTGACCTGGATTTGGGTTGCCAGGAGACCAGAGAGTACTGTCGATCTCATCTGTTTCTTCCTCGATGTAACGCCAGGTTGGAGGGCTATAGACTCCCGCGACGTAGAAACGGAAGTCATGTTCTACAATGAAATTGTTAGATCCCTAATGAACTTGTGTGATGGGTTTCAATTTAAAGACAAATGCTACTGAAACGTATAAGAAGTGTTCACAACAGTATAAGTTCAAGAATTTAAGTAATGAATGTATGTTTTAACCGAGGTAGTTGGACACGTGTGCTACTTTAGATTAATACGCGACATTTATTGACGTAACCTCAAAATAAACAAGGTGCAAAGTACTAACTCAGTACAAGGTAACCGGAAACTGTATTCTGCAGACTCGCCATCTTGGATGCCTTGTCAACCTTCATCAGGCGAGTGTACATAGCTGTGCAGGAAGTTGCTGCATCTGCCTGGGTCTTCCTAATCTCTATGATGTTGTACAGGATGGCAGCTTCTTTATCTTCCTTGTAGCCATACAAGTCCAGGACATCTGTATTCAAGGGAAACCCATCAGTTATATAGATATTTATAATATGATATACAATACACTTCCCTACAGATAGGGCGTTAATTTGAGTGAGATGCACGGAGACTAAGTAGCCAGATGTTAGTATAATGTCACTGGATTGGGTGTCATTTTTTCTATGGTTATTGGTTATGACATTTTATTTTGATGGTCCAAATATCCGTGGACACTATCTTTATGTTAGTTTGTCCCAGCGTGCCATCTTGATCTTGGTTGGTATATTGTTATGGTGATCTCGCTAGTTTGATAATTTTTCGTATTTCTCCCAGATCTTAAACTACAGTTACCGCTGATAGACCATTTATAGAATGCTTTTTACTTTCTGACATAAATCTTCAATTTTATTTCAGTTTCTTTACACACATTAGATTCTGAGAGATATCTTCAATATTATATCATTTTCGTTATATACACTAGATTCTGACAGACATCTCCAGTTTTATATCAGTTTCTTTATACACAATAGATTATTACACACATCACTAATATTATATTAGTTTCGTTACACACACTAGATTCTGAGATACATTTTCAATATTATACCAGTTTCTTTATATACACTAGATTCATATTCAATATTATATCAGTAATTTTCTTAAAATCCTCCCTTTTGAGCCCTTTAGTTTAACACTTACATATAAGTCCTTAAGTTTAAAACTTACATAATGTCCTTTAGTATAAAACATAATGTAAAGTCCGTTAGTTTAAAACTTACATATAAAGTGCTTTAATTTAAAACTTAATCTGGAGTCATTAAGTTTAAAACTTACATATAAAGTCCTTTCTGGAGTCATTAAGTTTAAAGTCCTTTAAAAAACCTACATATAAATTCCTTTAGTTTAAAACTTAATCTAAAGTTATTTAGTTCAAAACTTAATCTAAAGTCATTAAGTTTAAACGTACATATAAAGTCCTGTGGTTTGAAAATTCCATATAAAGTCCTTAAGTTTAAAGCTTAATCTAAAGTGATTTAGTTAAAAACTTAATCCAAAATCATTCAGTTTAAAACTTACATATAAAGTTCTTTAGTTTAAAATTTACATATAAAGTCCTTTAGTTTAAAACTTACATATAAAGTCCTTTAGTTTAAAAGTTTTATGTATTGCGCTTACACGTTCAATGATAGAATACAAAGGTAGACAAGAATTATCTTCAATTTTTCAGTCTCTTTTGTGTCTAATTCTAAAATTGAATTGTAAAGTCTTATTCACTTGTATGTGCAATTTCGATATCCATCAGCGAGCCGTGAGGAAGCATGACCAAAGGGAGATCACTCTTCGGCTGTGTATTATGGCTTTCAGGGAGCTTCACTGCAAAAACAACTGCACGTTATCACATTTGCTGATTGTATCCCTCATTCCTAAAGTAATACGTGGGTAAGGCATTATATGTATTGGATAATGATGACATAGTTTTGACGGAATCAGGAAAATGAGGGTTTTGTTGATTTAGAATATTTATTTTCTCTAACAAAATCTTTCTTTTACAATAGATAAGATATTTCAAGTGAACAGAATACAACAGCATATCGAAATAACCATAGTAATCAAGTCGTATAACAATACAAGACATGCATAGCCGATGATCACAAACAACATGATTTACTTGGACGTGACAGTTAAGTATTAATTTTATTCATATTCATACAACACCTGATAAATTCTTAAAACAAATGTACCATACCTTGAATAACGAATAAGCTAATGGATGAAGTGATCTGTCCAGGCACGACGATCCAGGCGTTGTAACCTGTACACCACTGTACACCGTTGCTGGTAGTGTAATTGAACGACATGCATGTGCTGTGGCTCTGACATTTCAAGCCACACTCCGCCCTTGATCGGACTGTAGAATCTGCCGGAATTACCGTATGGCTGGTTATCATTTCATTTTCTTCTGTTACTGGCTTCATAACGAAGTGGCTAAATCGGACTGATATAAACAGAATTATATATATAATATGAAAGTTAGGAAATGAGAGACAAAACGCTTTCTCCAAATTCTAAACATGTTACGGAGAAGTGATATACTGAAATGTGTAGAGAAACTGGATGACGTTTCCACCAAATCAAGTAGAAACTTATTTACCATAAATTGGGGAAATGTATAACACAGAACTGTTAAGGAACTATATCAGATAATCATTTAATAGCGAACATGTAAATGTTGCCCGAGTAGAAAAAGAAATGAACAGATAAACCAGAGTTCACCAGCGAAGACGGACAAAGTATCATGGCTGCTAGAAAGACGTTTCGCCATAAGAACATGAGTAAAACCATCACTACAGGAAGGAGGAAATTAAGTATTGAAATCGTGAAGAAATGGTTGGAGATCTTTACAACTATTAGAAAACGTCTCGTTTCAACGGAAGATGATGCCTGGCCCCATAATCTGACTAAACGAAATAACAGCACTAATCTGTATAACACACTCGTCTCAACGAAAGGTCGTACCTCGGTCACAAAACTGAGTAAACGAGATAACACTTATACGTTCACCGTTTATACCTACCATAATTGAAAATAAACACGACATATTCTTCTACATCAGCCACTTATCTCGATATAATCTTACAACGATAGTAGCAGTTTTTTTAAAACAGCTCTATGATTAGCGTGATGATTTCAATTTTCCTGTTTCTAATTTTTCAATTCTGTATAGCAACATCCCTGCATCCCTAACTTATGGCGTTTACAGGTTGCAGTTGATTCGATATTCAAAGGCAACCTCAAAAGACAGGGTTTCAAAAGATACAGGGTGAAAGAAATTACGGGGAAATTTTACGGTCATCATAGTGACCACATTAAGAAATATTCTTATTCTAATTTTTTGTGCAATATGAAACTGGACATGTTTGATGATCGTTAGTTTGCCTGTTGGTTTCGTCGTTGTATACCTTGTTCTCATTTGAGAATGTGACATTACTTACTTTGATTGATCAAATTTGACATGACATGATGAACAGAAGACGCTTGGTCTTCCGGAATCATTGCTCTTATTCTCCTTGACTTTTCAGGAGTCTCCATGTAAATATTTTTTTTGTTCATACTTTGCCATAGTTTTATTGAATTTGATTTTGGATTTTGATTATGTTAACATATTGTTATTTTATTGTTGTTTTCCTGTATCACGCACTGGCTCATCTCCACGAAATATCGTACCTAGGTTCCAAAATTGAGTAAAAAAAACACCACCACTCACATTTATACCTGTATGAAGCGCATACTCTTCGCAATGAATGATGAATATTTTGTTCATTGCATTAATGGACAAATGTCCTTAGAAATAGGTGATCCCGGGAACTATCTATGTTAATGAAATGTTTAATATACAGAACATTATAATATTTAACTCTGATTAAGTCATGAGTGTCTCATCTTTCCGTTTTCTAATTGAACATCCACTCACATCAAATCTGAGTGAGATGTGCCTATACCAAGTCCGTGGATTGATACGCAGATGGCGGACTGTCACATTGAATGTAAGAAGTGACGTCACAGGGGTATTCTGATCTGTATTTCCAGTGAATAACTGTAATTGAAAGTGGCAAATCACAAATAAAAAACCTTGTTAGTTATTAAATATATGTATTGGCTGAACACAACAACGACAGTCCGAACTTGTTTTAAAGTGTAGTTAGAGTTGCAATGACCAACAAATTACAAGAACGCTATAACTGTCAAGAATTCATAAAAAAGATCAAACTTGCTTTCTGTGATCCATCAGGTGACATCACATATGTCCATGTGACACTGTCCATGCTATAAAGTAGATAGTAGGATTTAATCCACTGGGGAATGTCAGGATCGCCTCGTCCCTGCACAGTTACAGCTGTAACAATGGTATCCTTCGGAAACGTTACCTGAAATGTAAGAAGGCATTGTAATTTAATCGAGGAAAGTAGAAATAGCAAAACGAAACAGGAAAAAGTAACTTAATCTCAATATTTCGATTGATGTCATTAAACCGTCCAGATAAATAGATCAATTATATATCATACAATGTATATATTATATTTAAAAAATACCAGAATTATTTTACATATCTTTTTATCAAATTCAATTGACCTGACAAGAAACAACAAGAAAATAACATGTTAACATAATCACAATCTAAACTCAATTTCAATTAAACCTAGGGCGAAATACCAACATGTTAACATAATCAAAATCTAAACTCAAATTCAATTAAACTAAGGCGAAATACCAACATGTTAACATAATCACAATTTGAACTCAAATTAAATTAAACTAGGGCGAAATACCAACATGTTAACGTAATCACAATCTAAACTCAAATTAAATCAAACTAGGGCGAAATACCAACATGTTAACATAATCACAATCTAAACTCAAATTCAATAACACTAGGACGAAATACCAACACGTTTACATAATCACAATCTAAACTCAAATTCAATTAAAACCTAGGGCGAAATACCAACATGTTAACATAATCAAAATCTAAACTCAAATTAAATCAAACTAGGGCGAAATACCAACATGTTAACATAATCAAAATCTAAACTCAAATTAAAAAACACTAGGACGAAATACCAACATGTTAACATAATCACAATCTAAACTCAAATTCAATTAAACTAGGGCGAAATACCAACATGTTAACATCATTACAATCTAAACTCAAATTAAATCAAACTAGGGCGAAATACCAACATGTTAACATAATCAAAATCTAAACTCAAATTAAAAAACACTAGGACGAAATACCAACATGTTAACATAATCACAATCTAAACTCAAATTCAATTAAACTAGGGCGAAATACCAACATGTTAACATCATTACAATCTAAACTCAAATTAAATCAAACTAGGGCGAAATACCAACATGTTAACATAATCAAAATCTAAACTCAAATTAAAAAACACTAGGACGAAATACCAACATGTTAACATAATCACAATCTAAACTCAAATTCAATTAAACTAGGGCGAAATACCAACATGTTAACATCATTACAATCTAAACTCAAATTCAAAAACACTAGGACTAAATACCAACATGTTAACATAATTACAATCTAAACTCAAATTCAAAAACACTAGGACGAAATACCAACATGTTAACATAATCACAATCTAAACTCAAATTCAATAACACTAGGACGAAATACCAACATGTTTACATAATCACAATCTAAACTCAAATTCAATTAAACTAGGGCGAAATACCAACATGTTAACGTAATCACAATCTAAACTCAAATTAAATCAAACTAGGGCGAAATACCAACATGTTAACATAATCACAATCTAAACTCAAATTCAATAACACTAGGACGAAATACCAACATGTTAGCATAATCACAATCTAAACTCAAATTCAATAACACTAGGACAAAATACCAACATGTTTACATAATCACAATCAAAGCATACATCAAATGTCCAACTGTTCATCTAAAAAACACATCAAATGTCTGACAGTTTATCTTAAAGCTGACACTACATATATGTTTATCTCCAAAGTAGACATCAAATGTTTCACTATTTATCTACAACACATAATTACGCTACGATACTTAGCCATTGTCCATGAATTTTACCTGTATAAACTGGTCTAGGTTGTTAAATGCGGAAGACCAGCATCTAGTTCTCCTAGGGGATGTAAGAGGATCTCCAGGATAGAAAAGTCTACTGTTTCGTGCCCCATTTTCAAACATCCCTTTAAATGTACTTGAAGCGGTCAGAGAGGTGTCATTGACTCCATTGATACCAGACACGAGGAAGTCAGAACAAACGATGCTTTCTAATAGTAAATAAAGTATAACATACAGTGTACAAAACTAAAACTAAATTTGCTACTGAACATTTTGATTTTGTAATGAAGGATTTCACTTTGGTTTGAAGACTTTCAACATAGACACAAGGCTACTACTATAACAGAAACATACAAGTTACAATAGCATGACCCGCAAACACATGTTCGGGCCGAGTGTGTGGTATTTTGAATGGCTGTGATATACTCTTATGAGTCCCTTGTGACGAAAATAGCTGATCAGAGAGGAGAAAATTTCTTTCTTCAAATTTACGAAAATGCAATGGGATCAGCAGGTGCAATACTTACGTCTTATCTGCTGGGCAGCAGAGAAAAGGTTCCATGTCAGTTAAATGTATTTAGTAAAACAAGCATTGCTTTCTTGCTTGTTGCCCTCATTGCGTGATAGTAAGAATTTAGAATCTTTGTCTTTATCTTTTCTAAGGTCCTTTTGCCCAATGTCTCTTTTGACACTAACCCACTTTAGGCCTTAGTGTTAAAACTCTGCACAAGTAAGGAAGCAATGGGTCTATCCCAAATTCCTGACTTTCATGTCACTAAGCATTGGTTGCGATGCATTTGGTTTGGCTTTATAATGCTTCGCGTCATATCGACAATTATGGTCTTTTAAGAACGGCTATTTGTTATGTTATATGAATGTAATGGGTTATAGAAGGGAGACAACTCCACCTGCTTTCTATATTGTAAACATTGCATGTATTGAAAATACAGAGACTACTCTACTGGATAGATATGTGCTATATCCACTGCAAAGAGTGCTGTACCTGAACAGAAAGACATTGACATTCGTGACCTGTAAGCTCAGAGTCCATGACTGCGGTACCGTTTACAAAGTCACCAGCCAAAAGCCAATCTTTCCTGCAGACTCTTGGGCAATTCAGTCCAGCTCAACATCATTAAATAAGGAATTTCAGCCAGTAAATTGAATGTTTTGCTTGTCAAAGACAAGGTCACCCCAAACGACTGTAGCTATAATGGAACTTTAGTGACATCTTTGTCAACAGCGGGGCCATCCAACTCCTTCATATTAAATGTTGACAAGCACGTTTACATCACACGCACACAAGCAGAACCCAGAGAGGAACAGAAATCCTTCATCGGGAAACCAGAGAAACAAGCAGAGCCCGGGGTAAGACAGTCCCCTCACCTCCTCGGGAAACCAAATGTAATCTTTATAAATGCGGGATTAGATACAATTCAAAACCATACATTTTTATTTCTGCCTTTCACAAAATTATCAAAATTCCATATCAGCTCTGGTTGACACAGACTTTGACCATTCAACTTGATCCATCTCCACTATTATGTACCTCCAAATTCAGAAGTGGGTAGTAGTACCAAAACATATTCTATAGCTTACAAGGCATCTGGTCTGGAAGGAGCTACTGTATTCATTAAAGCCTTATGGTTGCTATGTCATTTGTGACGGTTGCAAAACTTTGTCCCAATCAAGATTTTAAATCTTAATTCAAATCCCGTTGCTTTGTTTCAAGGGATCACGTTTTTGAACATGCATTGGATTATGATACTTTTTCAGCTATCCGATGACATCTTGGAAAATGTACAGAAGCCCATCGGTTCTAAACAAGAGCAATCTACTGCAATTCATTCGGTTTCCTATTTGAAATACCAGATCTCTTGGCGCCAAATGTGAAGGAGAATTTCCAAGTCTTACGTCGACACAGAGACCTGTTTGTCACTCCCGAGTCACCTAACCTTGGGTTTACAGAACTGGTTGAACACAAGATCCTACTCAAGCCTGACGCTAAGCCAAAACATTAAGACTATGTCGTTGTCCACCAGATAAACGCGCGTTTTAAGACATCAACTCTATCGATTGAATGTTGGATCAAGGAATTATAGCACCAGCTCGGAAGTCAAAACAGATTCTCATCACAAGTCCAGCAGATAAAATTGAGAATCGTTTGCCGACAGAACACCAGCATACTTCTCATCCATCGACTTATCGAAAGTATTTTTTTCTGATGTCGATCGACCCTGAAAGTACTGGTCTAACAGCATTCAACAATGCTATGGAACATCTATGTTTCAAAGACTACATATGGGTTCAAGTTTGACTCCCAGCAGTTTCCAGTTTTTGATGCAGCTCTTGATAGAAAACGGATTGAGAGGACACACATTTAGATCTTGTGTCTGTTACATTGATGATGTCCTGGTCAATGAACTAACTTTGCAATAACACATGAACGATGTTGAGGAGGTTTCCCTAGACTTGATGCTGCTGATTTCAGAAGATGGTATCTCTACATCATATGATCGTGTGGATGCCATCAAGAACATCAGTTCCGCAAAGGGTGTGAAGGCTTTTAGGCGAATTTTGGTTATTCAACTGGTTCATAAAATTCACTCCTACCTTCAGTGCGTAAGACAAGCTTTTGGTTAGTCTTACCAAGTCTGGTGTCCCTTTCTACTGGACAAGGAAACACCAAGATGCTCCGGATAATCTCAATTTTCCAGAGATGTAGATTGCTGAAAATCATGGCAATTGTCGGGAAGTTTTATGGTCGTCATAGTGATCTCATTTAGAAAAGCATTAATATTTTTTGTGCGATATGAAACTAGACGTGTTTGATGCTCGTTGCCTATTGATGTTGTATACCTCGTTTTCATTTGAGAACACTACATGGAATAATCAAACTATTTATGACTGGTGTCGTTAATGAAGCAAAAGACATGATAACCCGGTCTTATTATCTTTGTACTTTTTCAGTAGTTTCCTTGTAGTCCTTATTTCATGGAATTTGAAAAATACATACAGTATAGGCAAATAATGACTGCAGCATATAGAAATGTCGTGTTTTTATAACTTATTTTCTGAATTGTTTGAGTGATCCAGACTTTTCGATTTTGTACAACGTTAGATTTGCCACTTTTAGGTTACTTCCGCAATATAAAGCAATTCAATGTGTTAAGTTGTGAATCGGGAATAAGTAATCAGTACAAGTTAAAAGTATCAGATGGGCAATTGCGCAATATATTGCTGCCTCCCGAAAACACACATAAGCCGTCTATAAATGACCATAGCTGTTAATAGGACGTG